AAAACCTCAATGGTTAAAGTAAGACAGGAGCCGAAGGAGTCTCTGAAGAAGTAGATGATATAAAATTATCTGTCTTTGAAGTTGAGGATAGTTTCAAATTAGTTAAGACAGGAAAATCAGAAGTTTAAATTTGATATCGTTTGCATAAAGGCAAACTCCTTTCGAGGTAATATAGTATTTTGGGGTGTAAATAATTACATTACATGTATGTTTCAGAAGAATCCGTTATTTTGATTGGATAACAACGCTTGCGCGTCATACTAAAATTAACCTTCATTTCCCAATGAAGTGTAATATTCATGATGACACGTGCCATCACAATAAAGTGCACAGGTTTATTAAAGAAATAAATGATAGAAATCGATTTTTCATGAACCTAGCTATGACATGGTATTGGTTGCAAAGATTAAATGAAAAAATATACCATTCAAATAAAAAAATATTGCATTTAAATGAAGAAATATACCAATTAAATAAGAAATATTGCATTTAAATGAAAAATATCAAATTTTTGCAACCAATACCATGCCATACCTAGCATAAAAATGTAATTATAAGAATTGAATGCTTCTTTAGTAATTTTATAGGGTTGTAAAAGTGTTGATCGTGCGCACATTTCTAGAATGAAGCGTGCTTCGGTCAACACTTTTACACCCCAATAAAATTACAAAAAGAAGCATTAAATTCTTAAATGAAATTCAAATGAGAATCCTAACAAAACGGTCCTACGTGATTATTGGTCAATAATTTGAAGATGCCTCAGATGATTCAGATGTAATAAAATTTGACCGTGTCCTCCGCGCTGGGCCACTAGACAAAAAACAACGACTTATAACTTGCCGTATATATATACTTAAACATTGGCCAAAATTGTAATTTTAGATTATTTTTTTACGGGGAACATTTTGGCAAATATAGATCTATGAACAAGATTATTTTAGCTGAGATTTAACAATTCAGACCTTGATATGTTGTATATTATAGACATCCGTCTATATTCTATTGGAACCATGTATGACGTTAATTAAGCAATCAAAATAAATCAACCAATTTGTTGGCATCAAGGTATGTTTAAAGTATTTTTGTCGTTGATTTGCTGTTTCATTGACGTTCATCGTATTTTTTTTTTTCATACCATAAAACAGCTCTAAGGAACACCTTTAATTTTGCATCGCAATGGTATAACAATTAACATCAGAATTTGGAAATCGATCCAATTATCAAGTATTAAAAAGATGGTGAATAAGAAATAAATACAGCTATTTTTTTCATATAAAAACACATTTATTTAAAACATTGTCAAAAGTAATTTGAGGTCCAATTTTTGAGAAATTTTTAATGTTAAACTCATCAATGTATACAGTTTTTTGTGCTTATTATGAAACTCATTATTTGATTACAAATATTGAAATTAAGTGGGTTTTTTTTTCCCTATTTATCCAGATAATTTTTTTCGTGCAGAAATTTATATTTGTCTTTAAACAGTGATTTCCCTGAAAATATAAATCATAAATATATTTCATAACCATTGCAAGAAACTGCAGCCATTTTTTGTATTTAATAATTCTTAAAAAATCATTCAGTTCAGATAAAAAATATCTTCAGTAGATTGTTTTATCAAAAAATTGAAAACTCTAGCCATATTTTAGATTGAAGTAGCATACCCTAAGAGAAGTTTTTGATACTGAAGCCTCAAGTTTTCATATTGGAGCTCATAAAGTTAAAATAGAAAATTCGTAAGGATGTTTCTATATTAAATCGACCTACAAAAGAAAAATGAAAACTTTTTTAGGAAGAAATAAAAGATGAGATTAGTTCTTTTAACTTGTAACGTCGATGTGTAAAACTGCTTGTTGTATTATGCAAGATTCACCATCCTGTATGGTCAAACATCTAACAAAAATAAGGATATTAAAAAAATATAAAAAAAATCTCTTTTTATTTGGATTATGTTCAATGGAAACAAAGAAATCTATAACAATATTTGTAACAAGTTAACCATTAAAAAAGTCTTTTCGTCGTTAAAGAGCACAAAAACCATGATTCGTGTTAACCGTGGTATCTAAGACTTTTTACCGAGAAAGCGTCATCCAATCATTGATCTTAATAATGACAGCAGTCCATCAAAAGGTGTATTATTGATAGCAATCAAACTTAAACTAGTCACTAGAACTTTTATGACACAAAAGAAACGTGCGAGTCCCTTTTGTGTAAACTGTGTGATGATGAAGACGAACACATTGAACATCTATTGCTAAAATGCAAGATTCTAGAATCTATACGGTGTCCTTTCATAAATCAACCAGAAGAAACTATCTTCAAAGATACCTCCATTTTATTGTATGATCTATTTACAACCATTCAGATTATGGATTATGTGTATATATATGTGTCTGGTTGTAACAAAAGCAGAAATCAAAACACAGATCTATAGTATTAGAAAGATATAAAGAACACAAATGTGATTTAATATCTAGAAATTTGTTCTATGCACTGCACACTATAAGAGCATCAATTTGCAGAAAAAAACAATCAAGAATAAGATAATTTGTCAAGAATATAGATTAACTCAACCAGTTACTAACTTCAGACATATATATACAGATATGTAAATAAACTGTATATACTTGTATGATATTCAGGATGGTAATATTGATTACAGTCTTATATATGTAACACTCCCAAACGTGTCCGATTCACCCAAACGTGTCTATTCTCCCCAAACGTGTCCGTAATATTCAATATTGCCCAAACGTGTCCACTGTTAAACGCCAGAACGTCCCACGTCTTTTAGCGCCCTAAATGTCATCAATAACGATTACGGCAATTCTATGATGGGGAACACAGTTGATGAAGTGGTCATTTATTGTCATTAGTTTGTTCAATGTCGGTTGTTAATGATTATCATAATTGCAAATTTAATCTGTAACATATGAATTAACTTTTAACTGAAATGCTCTTTGTCCAGTTGCAAGTATTGCATGCTGATTTAGAGCGAAAATACAAATAATTTAGTACAGTCGAATTAATCGTTTACTAAGTGAATTATTTTGTATTAATAAACTCCGGTGATGCCTTTTTATATCAAACTTGTCTGCGAATATTGCACGGCGGGATTTTAATAGAATTGACTTCCCTTTTTTCAACAGTTCTAAAACACATTGGTTTACAGGCTCTTTTGTAAAAAATTTAAGGTTTCTGGCATCACTAAAGACACACGAACAAGAGACATAACGTCGATTGCCAAATATTTCATGGATTATTTGAACGACATCATGTTAACAATAAATACTGTAGATAGGTTCTATTATTATACCAGGAATTTAATTGTGATTGGGCCTTAATTTTTATGGTTATTCAAGACAAACACTAGTTGGGATATTAATCTAAAAAATTTAAGAGCGAGTAAAGACCATTTTTTATGACTTCAGTAAACGACTACGCCAATATCCGTTATGTAATAGAGGTCGTCTTAAATAAAAATTGCGGAAATTTTAACTGCCACTAGAAAAAAAAAATGAATCAGGACAAAAATGTTGCCTTCCGTAATACAACTGATGGCACCATGAAAGAGTTGTTAGAAAGGTTTTAATCTGCAGAGAAAGTGACATTCTCCTTACACGAGATTTAATATCCACAATTTGACTGAGCGTGGATGCTTACATTTACATCCGACATAGCTGAACGGATGCCCCACTTATACTGCCGGTTTAAAAAAGACCTAAATATGTAAAGTACTTTATTTCTACTTTTTAATAAAATAGTAAAATGAATTTACGCTAATGAAATAGCAATAACCAAATAACGGAAGTATTTAAAATATGGAAACAAATGATCATTCAATAATTCTTATATGATTTGCATATTAGAGATTACGTTGATATGATTGGTTAAGAGGACTTCCGGTAGTTTTTCTTGACGTTGACCGAACTTCTTTTCGTAACCAATGTCAACAAGATGGCGGCGATAATGACACAATCCGGATCGACGTTAACAAAATTTATTATCTGTTCGCGTTAATAGGTCTTAATAGTTAAATTAAATAATAAACACAAAACATTCGTTTGAATGATAATAAGAGTTTTTGTAGTTTATTTTTTATCAGATTGCAAATTTCATGGAGTACATATTTTTGCGTTAACCAACAAATATATTCATACGCCAGGCCTATTCAATGACACAAATATTCAATTTACGTGTCGTAGAGGTTACGAATACATTCCTTATCTCTAATTTTAAAGAATTATAAGGATTAAACGCCTTTTTAAAAGAATTTATTTAAGGAATGACTGTAATATTTTTTCTGTCTATGAAGTCAGGTAATAACATCAAAAATGTGGTGCACACTGAATAACCCGCGTAGCGTGTTATTTTAAAGTGTGCACCACATTTTTTATGTTATTTCGAATAGACAGAAAAAAATATAACAGTAATTTCTTATAATTTACTGAATTCTAAATTCCATTTTATACCGGAGTAAACCATGAAATAACGTTGATGACGTCACGGTCACATGACAAAATTATGTCTATGAGCTGATAACAAAACAACGTCAGCCAATCAGAAGACGCGTTACATCCAACATTAAATTATTGGTGTATAAACTGTACCAAGTCACTCACAAACATATCATAAAAGTCCTTCGGACTTTTATTTGGTTGTGAGTGATTTAGTCGAGTTTATACACCAATAAATTCCTTTAAAAAGGCGTCACAGTTAATCCTATAATAAAGGAAAAAAAATAAGCTTGATATGGACACGTTCGGGGGATTAGGCACGTTTGGGTGTTTATTAAAAAATGGAGACGTTTGGGCGTTCATACAAATGACAAGCTTTGGCGCCGTAAGACATGTTTTGCATTTCAGTGACGTCATGTGGACACGTTTGGGGGAATCGGACACATTTGGGGGGTGTTACGTTAGGGGTGGTCCTAAAGGACGGAAAAAGATTCAACGGTAAGTAAAGGTGTTCCGTGTATATAGGAGGAAGATACACAGAGACTTAGGAATTGTACTATAAGGGGAGATAATTTACTGTGATCATGTGACAGGCCACAGGAAATGGAAAAATACAAATAGACGAACACCCACATCTAGTCATTTATACATCAAAATAATATCATAATGGAACCAGAGGTAAACAAAAATATGAGGGAACATTAGTATCAAAATGTGAACATTGACATTACACCGTACATATTTAAAGGGCTGTAAACATGGTTAAATTTTGTTCACATTGTACATAATTTTTCACATATCCGCAAAACTTTATAACAAATAGTGTCATCACATCATACATGATACTGATTTATTTCCCATGCGATAGTCGACCTCATACCACAATTACTTTTACAACACATTCTTTGTTAAAAATAATGACTTATTTGTAAAATTGCACCAGTTCAAACAAAATGAGAATGAAGTTCAACCTTTTCTCAGGAAAATCTATCGCTGCTTTCGTCTGAACACCTAATTACACATCCATAGGGTTCAAATAACAACCACTATGTAAGATAAAAGCAAAAATTTGACCTTTAACATGTTTAAGTGAAAATTTACAACTTTCATTTTCAAATACAATTTTTTGGTCTTATAACTCTAGATCTGAATTCATTATTTTTCTACCTAATTATACCATTATGACCATGAATCACTCACTTTCTCAAATAAAAGGTACAAACAAAAATCTGGAAAATATGCCTATTTTTTTATTACAAATGTATTGGACTCGTGAGCAAAGGGAAATAATTGTGGTATGAGCCAGAGTTAGTTGCAAACTGTTACATGGATCTGTTGTTTGGTGAAGTTTAGCAAGAACTTTGTACCTACATATCATTAGCTACATGTAGTTGTTTGTAATTGGTATTTAAAAAGACTAAAACAATTATTTATAAACAGATTGTATGCAACCCACCATATTTGTAATAGTCTCCCAAATGAGAAACTATCCCTCGATTTATTCCAGTGTCAAAACATTTTCATTTTAAATTCACAATATTTTACATGGAATGGCAAACATTTTTGAAAAAATGCAGCAAATTCTAAAAGAAATACTTCTCATCAGTAGTTCTGAACAGATAAACAAATAAATTAAACATGTTAAATGTACATGATGTGCAAGGCTATGAAAGTTTCTTAAAACTCATATTTCTCAGGTCTAATTACTTATGAAACTGAAAATTAAAAAAAATGGATATTTAAGACTAATTGTTCCTTTTGCTATAAATTCATGCCATTTAAGGTATAAACATGATAAAGGCAATTTGACTTATATATATTTTCATTTTTATCTCTTTAGAAATAGCCCTCATCAGAAGGTTGCCACACCTTTAGATAAGACATATACATTGTCAGGGCTCATGCTAGCAGACAACTGGGGCAAAGAAGTTGCTTCCTCGTCTTTCACTTTGCTTAGCCTGACTGTCAAAAGCGATAACTAGTCGCCCTGGTGTTCACAATACTCGCTTTCAGTTGCTTTCGCCGTCGTTAATTTTCAATTTTTACCAAGCTGATGAAACAGCAATTTTTCATTTATAAGTAAAGAAATTCAAAGACATAAACAATTTATTTTTTTAGAAAAGAGAAAGTATTGACTATACAGATTAATTATATGTTATTTCATACAGACAACTTTTTAACACTTCCGGTACTTGTTACTTGAGAGCGTACATCAAAACATTCTGATTTTCAGCAAAATAATTTTTTTTCTTCATAAGAACTTGTTGAAAAGTGACTTTAGTTAATGTTCAATCCATTTATTGCATTAAAAATGTCATATTCCTTTCCAAATAACTTGTCAAACCGTTTATTTTGTAAATTTTCTTCGTCCGCTATTGAAATAATTGTGCGAACTACGGAGGTGGGATTGATCTGAACTGGACCAGATATGATCGAAATCCGTATTCTTACAATAATAACTACGGATGCACGAATTGCACAGCCGACAAGAAAATTGATCCCAAAAGGAAAAATTCCACATTCCACACGCATTAACAGACTTTTGTTTAGATCTCCTTGCTTAATGAATATATTTCCATTTATAAGCATTGTTTCTTTTATTGATTAAAGTTGCTCAACTTTGTAAAGTTTATATATCTTTTCAGGGTTTGAAATTAGCAGGGGCCCACTCGCCAATGGCCCCTAAAATTTGGTGTGGGCTACTTAAATTTCTGCTTTTCTTGTATAGGACTATATATGTGGGCTACAAAATTAAAGCTGTGGGCTACCATGCCAAAATTTTAACTTCGATCCCTGCTTTTTAATGTCAGAGAAACAATGAATTTCATAAACATGATATACAGAATAATTTTTTGATTGAATTTTAATTGATATATTATACTTTCTTTTCCTTTTTGATATAAAAAAAAGTTCTTTTTAGTACTAGATATTCAGTTGGTGGTTTCTGACAAGAGGACTTATATAATTGTGCAACTAAATAATAAACTGAAACAACTGTTACTTTAATTGTATACTCAGGTATAAATTGAACAATATAAAAAATAGATAAATAGGATACATATGGCCCTTTTTATTATAGTAAAAATCAAAAAAACATTGTAGTGCCGCAAGCGAGCATACAAGCACTTCTCTTTCAAATCTCACCACTTCTGCCTATTAGCATGATTAGTTTCAAAAAGAGAAGTCACTTCTCCCTATGATTCTGAAGTAGTGTGAGCTCTGCATTGTACAATGCATTTTTGCCAAAACTTTTCCCAAGAGAGTCAGAATTACCAAACTGTTTGGAACACCTGCATATTTTTATACATATAAATGACCATGTTTAAAATTGTTGTCTCATTTTGCTCAGGAACTACAAATCAGGGCTTTCTGAAAATTAGAATCAAGCTTGTATATATTTCTTGTGATGCTTTTTCACATCTTTGATTCATCAACTTCAAATTTTAAAAATACTTATCATGCTTATAGTGGTGGTAACATTAATGTGCAGTTATTCACTTTGCAGTTTAACTTGTTTTAACGAAATTCCCTTGTGTGTGCTGAACTTATGACACCATTTAATTAAACAATTCCTAAGCTACTAAAATTGTGAACAATAAGCAGAAATATTGTTTCTTCCTTTTGTAGATGAATGGTCCAGTAAATGGGGAATCCCCTAGCAATGGTCCAAGGCTTTGGGAAAAATCATGGACCATAGATGAGATGAGGAAGAGTGCCAACAACTGGTCCCTTGCTGGTGATGCTGGGGTATGAGAACATTATGTAATCTATGATGTCAGTTAATGAATAGAAGTTTTGTTATTCCTTGTCAATTTTATGAAGTTTTATGTATTGGCAAAACATAGTCAAGAATTGGAATTAAGATACATGTAATATTCACCCATTAACATAAAAAAAACTTCAGGCTTCCAAGGGTTCAGATGATATAAAATTGAACAATGAAAAAAAAAACAATATGAAAATTATTTTTTAAAAGCATCTTCATATTAATGTTTTCACTAATTTTAGTCTTTTACATAATACTTTAAATTCAGAAATTATTGCAATGTTTGCGAAAAATGCAACAGTATCAGATTCGCAAAAATAAAAACTTGCATACTTAATTTCAGTAGTGAATTTTCCTTCATAAAATATTTGCCATCACATTAATTAGATTATGCATTTCTGCTAGTGGTCAACATGGTCAAGCATTCATGATAATAAATGCATAAATCAATTTCTGATTTTTACAGTATACCCTTTTCTTGCATGTAGCTGTACAAGCTCACTATGTTCATGAAGGCTTTATGTTAATTAAAGTCTGTAATTACTGTTGAATATACTTATAAGAAAATTTGTTTTAAATAATCATGTGATAGTCATGTTACCTCAATAAAGCTAATGACTGGAATGAAAACAAAATTACACAATAATTTGTCTTCTCAGTTCCTGCACTTTTAAGAAATGTGTACATTTTGTAATAGTATTAAACATAGTTTCAAAGTGGGGAATTATTGAAAGTATGAAGAATACCATGTTTATCTTTTTTTTCTGACAATGAGATTTTCATGATTTTCTTAACAAATCATGCAAATCATGATTTTTAATCTTATAGTTACTTCACCATTTACAAGACTTTTCACAACAAATGATCTCCAGAGTGCATGAGATTGGAAAAGAGGTGGATGGCCTTCTTCATGACACAAAGGTAAACGCTAACAATATTATATACAGTTGAAATTGAGAAAAAAGTGGATGATATACATTTAAAGGAAAATTCTTATAGCATGTGGTCGCATATTTGAATTAATTAGTAATTTTCAATGTTTAGTTTTCTGCTTAAGTTAGTTTGGTAAGAACTACTTGTGATAGATCATTGATATTTTACATAAAGTTGCATTACTATCAGTACATATCAGTTTGACGACTATTTCAAGGCTCTGCCCCTAGGTCATGGTTCAGCGACTTTGAAATGATTAGCAATTTCCAATGTAAAGTTTTCTGCTTAAGTTAGTTTGATAGGAACTACTTGTGATAGATCATTGATATTTTATTACTATCAGTACATATCAGTTTGACGACTATTTCAAGGCCCTGCCCCTAGGTCATGGCTCAGTGACTTTGAATTAATTAGCAATTTTCAATGTTAAGTTTTCTGCTTAAGTTAGTTTGATAAGACCTACTTACAATAGACAATGATATTTTCTATAAAGTTACATTACTGTCTGTACATCTCAGATCGCAACCATTTTTAGGCCCTACCCACTAGATCATGGTCCAGCAACTTTGAATTAATAAGCAATATTGCTGTCCATCAGATTGTCTTTTTCTGAATTTTATGTCAACAGGCGAGATATATCTATGTGTCAACAGTTTATTGAATTGTACATAAAATTATTGAGAAGAGGTTGTGAGCTCCTTAGTTGATAGCTAAAGACCTTTTAGCCAATTTGAAAATAAAAATTGGTGATAATACCAAGGATAAATTGAGCTCCTTAATTTATCTGTAAAAATGCTTGCCATTTTGAAATATAAAACAGTCATAAAAGTATTAGTCTTTGGATATTTTTAAATTACCAAATATCATTATTTCTTTTAATGATTGTTATCTTTTTTTGAGAGGAAATAGTTGATCTTACTGGCACATAGAATAGGAAGAAAAATTGCCTTCATGGTGTCGAAAAGAGAAATTTACAGATTTTAATCATATATATATACTTTAGATTTAAAAAAATGTAAAAGAAAAGTAGCCTAGTTAGAAGAGAAGTTTTTATCAATCATGCACCATTAATTCCAGTATCTAAACACAAAATAGATAAAATCTGAAATTATTATAGATACAATTATTTGTATTGTATTTTCAGATGACAGGTGTTAGAGTACACAATGTTTTCAATGATTTCATTATGTTGGCCAATACACAGTTTGTTGAAAATGTAAGTATGAGATGATTAAAAATCAATATTATATATTTTCTAGCTTTTGCAATGGGACCTATAAAAAATGAAAACATCATGAAAATGCTTACGATTAACTAATCATTAGAATGCTAAAAATATATATGAATACACCATCAAAAATAATAAAAATGGAGAACTCTTTGAAAAATCTTAAAATAAAAATGATTAAGCTAAAAATACAAAAAATATTAATGCATCAAATAATTACTTCTAGCATGAATATAATGTGAAAATAATGATAACAAGAATGTGTCCATAGTACACGGATGCCCCACTCGCACTATCATTTTCTATGTTCAGTGGACCGTGAAATTGGGGTCAAAACTCCTAATTTGGCATTAAAATGAGAAAGATCATGTCATAGGGAACATGTGTACTAAGTTTCAAGATGGTTGGACTTCAACTTCATCAAAAACTACCTTGACCAAAAATTTTATCCTGAAGCGAGACAAATGGACGGATGGACGAACGGACGCACAGACCGAAACACATAATGGCCATTAATGGGGCATAAAAATTAGTACATTAGGAAAATAAAACAGAAGAGTCAACCAGAAAATACTAAATGAATAAACACACTGCAAAAGTACTAAAACTAAAAAAGAACACCACAAATAAATTAAGAAATGAACACACCATGAAAATTAATACTTCTGCTGTAAAAAAATTAGAAAATTATTTATACACTTAGGGGAGAATAAATAGAAAAAGTGACAAAAATACTTTGCTCAGTTGCAAGACTCTGAATTGACTTTTCATGATAATATGCAAGCATTTTCTTTAGGTGTTACAGATTGCAAATGTCATGTTTTCTGCCAAATAATATTTAAAACACTGTTCTTTTTTTAAATTCAGGGAAAATGTTGCAATTATTTTTTGCCTGAATATTACAAGACTGTTGTTCAAAATAAGAGATGATATATTTCACTAAAATAGATATGAATGCTTTGTTAAAAAAAGTGTTGAAATAAAATTAAAATGAAAATAATGACTTTAGACATATTATTTCATTAATATATTAGAGAGTTTATGATGAAGATGTAAGCAGCGAGGAAACAGCAAAAGAATCAAACAAGGAAGAATCACAGGTGAATATTTATGAAACATTTCGTTAAATTTTGTTTTTCTTTAGGTAGGAAGATCTTTCTTTAAAACCCAAAACCTCCCGCACTTGATTGCCGCGATATAGCCTTTTTGTGCTGATGCGGCGTAAAGCAATCACCAATTAATCAATCAATCCTGCACTTGAGGTGAACATGCTTCCATGACACTACGAAGGTAGTGCAGACTTTTCTGAGATTTTCATGTATATTTAAACATATCGACAACACAGTAAATAAAAGGAGATAAATATCTTGGTTGAAATTCAATGAAACATCAACCAAATGCAAGGTGAACATTTGAGCATAGAAACTTTTCACATGGGTGTTAATTTCAATATGTAAAATGAGCTGCTTCGGATAGAAATCGACCTTATGCAAATGAATATCAATACATCTGTTAACCTATTTCGGGTTGAACAAGTTTTTATGGAAAGTTTTAACTGTTTAAGAATAGAACTGTTATAAAAAAAATCTACAAAATAGACCAAAATCCATCTTTTATTTTGTATATGAATGTTCCAAAATCAATCAAAGTCTTATACATGTACATGTATACGTGTACTTGCATACGGTCGATTTCTATCCGACGCAACTCCTTTTACATATTGAAATTAACACCCACGTGAAAAGTTTCTACTGCATTGAAATTGTGAAATGAACAATCCACAAAAATACCCACATTGTCAATATTGTAATCCATCTGTCCATTTTCAGGAAAAGACAAGAGAACAAAGAGAAGCAGAATTAATACCAAAAGTATCGGAAGCATTACAGTTGGGGATAAAAGTAACAGAGGATGCATTTGAGGCATTGGATTCTAATGTTGTAAATTCTGACTCGGAAGATGATGACGACACAAATTATAGGGTGGATCCTATATTAGAGGCTAAGGTTTGTAAATTCTGACTCAGAAGATGATGACGACACAAATTATAGGGTGGATCCTATATTAGAGGCTAAGGTTTGTAAATTCTGACTCGGAAGATGATGACGACACAAATTATAGGGTGGATCCTATATTAGAGGCTAAGGTTTGTAAATTCTGACTCTGAAGATGATGACGACACAAATTATAGGTTGCACTTTGTAAATACAGCTGTTTCTCAAACCACGCCTCTTTTGGGGAGATATTTAATATTCATAGGTATGTTAATTTGTTAACGTACTGGTTCCCATTGATGATCTCTGTGTTTCATCTCATAGAGACATCACTTGGGAATGTAACCAGTATAGATAAACATGGTAGCGGCTAAATTTTAATTCTTAGGAGGTCCAAAAATGGAGGTAAGGGTAGTATAGAATTTTAGTATAAGTTTAAACTCTTAGAAGTTCAGGGCATATAAATGTTGAAAATATGCCGCACAGCCCTATATTTTGACCTTTGAATAAAATAGTAGTGCATATAAACTTTCCGTTCTGGGATATTATTTTTCACGAAACTTCATAGTAAAAGTGTCACAGTTTTAGCCGCAAAGGGAGTTCCTATGGGAAATTGCATTGTCTGTATTTACAGAATTGCAACCTATATAGGGTTAAAAAATAGAACATACAGAATTTCACAAAATCTGGTTTATCTCAGAGATTTTAAAGAATTTAACTCAAATATGAAGTTTTATAAATATTTCATGAAGATTGAGAAAATCCTGGGCCTTAACTATGATGACTCAGCATAAATTCACAGTTTAAAGTATGCATGGTTTACTTAAAGCCCTGAATTCAAAATAAATTCATAATATATGCCTATTTGTAATTTAAATTGTTTAGAAGTGCTTATATTTACTCTTCGCAGTAATTGCAACTCATTGATCCTTCCTAAATATTTCTGGTGGGGTGTTTTTGTCCTGTCGATAACCCAAAAGTAAGCCGTAACGCCTAAATGTGCTTTTTTGTGACTGCGGCATAAAAAAGTACAAGCTAGAATTACAAAAAGACCTCAGTAAAACTTACAATAGTGTGTTCTATCCTTAATATGTAGTAAATATTTCACATTGCTAGAAACAGGGAAAAAAATTAGGAAATGTGAGGCCCCAGGGGCAAAAAACAGAGGAAAATGCCTACCCCTGAGTCATAAAACAGATAATTTAACTTGTAAATGCTATGATTTTTTTATTTTAAAGGTCTTTTATAAAGTAAACAATAACTGTGCTAGGAAGTTATGCAAAAATCAGATGTAAGTAGTCATTTCAATGAAACTTTTAGTGAATTTATGCACCAGACTGATATCTTCATAAATACAACTTTTGCAAATATGCCTTTGTTTAAACACTTCTAGGACATATATTAACTAACTTATGTTAGATATATGGTTAGGGATGATACTGTTGTGACAAGAATTCTAAACTGACCATTTGAGGCAGAAATTGTGAACTTTCATTGACAAATAGGCATACAGTAAGATGTGGACTGGAGACACAGGCAGGATTTGATACTTTGTATAATCTTGAATGTTGGAATGCTTAACTACTAAACAAAACATTTATAGTATTCTAAAATGCTTTCAATTTGTTATCAGAATAGTTTCAAACAGGTTTTAGACAGTTCATGTCAGAAAACATGCACATAGGGTAAACTGGCAATAATTAGAGTCTTGTTTTCAAAATCTTTATAAAATTGAAACAGGGGTAGGGGTATAAAATGTACTGTAAAAGGAGACTTAGAGTATATGCAGTGATTTCTTTAAGGCTATAATTCTGATAAATAAGTAATGTTGTGAGAAAAAGTGTTTTTAGAGAGTTTTCTATTTGAATAAATGTTTGTATAGGTTGCACTTTGTAAATACAGCTGTTTCTCAAACCACGCCTCTTTTGGGGAGATATTTAATATTCATAGGTATGTTAATTTGTTAACGTACTGGTTCCCATTGATGATCTCTGTGTTTCATCTCATAGAGACATCACTTGGGAATGTAACCAGTATAGATAAACATGGTAGCGGCTAAATTTTAATTCTTAGGAGGTCCAAAAATGGAGGTAAGGGTAGTATAGAATTTTAGTATAAGTTTAAACTCTTAGAAGTTCAGGGCATATAAATGTTGAAAATATGCCGCACAGCCCTATATTTTGACCTTTGAATAAAATAGTAGTGCATATAAACTTTCCGTTCTGGGATATTATTTTTCACGAAACTTCATAGTAAAAGTGTCACAGTTTTAGCCGCAAAGGGAGTTCCTATGGGAAATTGCATTGTCTGTATTTACAGAATTGCAACCTATAGGGTGGATCCTATATTAGAGGCTAAGGTTTGTAAATTCTGACTCTGAAGATGATGATGACACAAATTATAGGGTGGATCCTATATTAGAGGCTAAGGTTTGTAAATTCTGACTCGGAAGATGATGACGACACAAATTATTCGGTGGCACCTATATTAGAGGCTAAGGTTTGTAAATTCTGACTCAGAAGATGATGACGACACAAATTATAGGGTGGATCCTATATTAGAGGCTAAGGTTTGTAAATTCTGACTCTGAAGATGATGACGACACAAATTATTCGGTGGCACCTATATTAGAGGCTAAGGTTTGTAAATTCTGACTCAGAAGATGATGACGACACAAATTATAGGGTGGATCCTATATTAGAGGCTAAGGTTTGTAAATTCTGACTCAGAAGATGATGACGACACAAATTATAGGGTGGATCCTATATTAGAGGCTAAGATTTGTAAATTCTGACTCGGAAGATGATGACGACACAAATTATAGGGTGGATCCTATATTAGAGGCTAAGGTTTGTAAATTCTGACTCGGAAGATGATGACGACACAAATTATAGGGTGGATCCTATATTAGAGGCTAAGGTTTGTAAATTCTGACTCTGAAGATGATGAAACAAATTACAGGGTGGATCCTATATTAGAAGCTAAGGTTTGTTAATGAAGAAGCTAGAGGGGTACCAAAGGGGCAGTATTGGAGGGACAAATCATAATACAAAGGAGATTGACATATTATTACAGAAACATTTACACATATGGCTTTTGCAATTAAACGCATAAACCAGAAGTGATGACAGACACTATGTAAGGGTTAATAAATCATGTCTCTCATGCCTAACCTGTGTTAAAATTGTATCATCTGTAGTGACATAATTTATCCTTTCAAAGAAAGGTAGGGTAAATTTTTATATCAAATATAGAAAATGTGTGATTAAATTATTTGGGTTTAATTTTAGGATTGTTGACTCTTAAAACTTCAATATTTGATGGAGTTAAGTCCAGAGATGATACTGACCATTATTTGTATTTTCATCTTGAATTTTCAAGAGCAAATAGAAATTAAAATGAAAAAGACATGCCTTACTAATTATACCCCACGCAACGAGTTGCGGAGGGTATAATGTTTTTGATCCGTCCATCAGTCCGTCCGTCAGTCAGTCCGTCAGTCCTGTTTCTTGTCATCGCAACTCCTCTCAAACCACACAACAGAATTTCATGAAACTTTGTAGATAATAAGGACATACTAGGTAGATGTGCATATCGACAGGAAATTATGATTCAATTTTTTTTCTAGGAGTTACGCCCCTTGAACTTATTTGCTTCAATATACCTCTGCAACAGTTTGTCATCGCAACTCCTCTGAAACCACACAACAGAATTTCATGAAACTTTGTAGATAATAAGGACATACTATGTAGATGTGCATATCGACAGGAAATTATGATTCAATTTTTTTTTCTTATACAATTTTTTTTTTATTTCTCCAGTGACAATGTGGGGACGTGGGGTATGTGAGCGCGCCCACTAAGGTTCTTTAATTTCGTTCAAAATATACTTTAATATATCTATTGTTTGAAAGCATTTTTCAAATACCTTGTATTTTGGTCAATTACTTTAATTATATTTTTTTAGTTACAGGTATATATTATTAAAAAGTTATAAAAGACTAAATTGGTGGAAAAGATTTGTCCAACTAAATATAGATTCTAGAAATGAAAAAAGAAACACTTAATATAGACTAAAAAAAGTCACTGATACTAATCAAAGAAGGAAGGCATATTATGAAACTAACTTATGTTTTTTTCTATTTTAGGATCCATACATAAACAGACCACTACCATACCTAATTGGTACTCCAAACTTTATGTCCAACGAAGATGTTGGACTGGAAGAAGAATCGGGTAAAACACTTTTTCTTTTCTAAATGTATTTGTCTATACAATGGGTATCTCTGCTTGCTAAAATTATCATAGCTAAGATTTAAGGTCGATATTTAGCCTCATGCAATTCAAAAATATAGATTTCCAAAAGTTTTCAAAGAGTTTAATATTACTGTGGATTCATTATTACACATCAGATATCAATTTTTGTGCATTTCATGGCTAAAAGTGAGCAATGAATTAAAACGTTCAACAAAATTCAAGTTTTATTCAGGCATCTTTGCAGACTTCAGTAAAACAACCAAATCAAATATCCCAGAAAATTTAATTATTCTTCAAGCCTAGAAAAATTGATGCCAATGAAAATAAATGGTCAACAGTATGTGACGTACAGTTAGAAAAATCCATTGCTGTCATATTGACAACTGAATGTGAAGCAAATAATCATAAACACTATAGCTCAGGTAGTGTCAACACTTCTACCTGCCTAACATGGACAGCCCACTCCTGTTGATCCAAATTTAACCTCAGATCTTGTAAAACAAATAAATTAAAAGCTTCGTTCATTTTCCAGGATATTGTATGTTTAGTTATTATGATAAAAGAAAAAGAATGGCTTGACTTCTACATAGGGTGGGTGCATGGGACTATCAAGAATTTAACTTGCTCCAAAACCTTACCTGAGCTGTCATGTACATGAATGAATATTGACTGTTTATGATTTCTATTTTTAGAAGAGGAGGAAGTTGGCCATGGTGAACTAAGTGAAAGTGAAGCAGAAAAAGATTCTTCAGAGGTACAACAGCCATTTTCTTTTATCAGTGTTACACATGATAATTATTTTTAGATTTATTGCAGACATATTGAAAATTTTATATTTGTTAAATACATAACTTCAAGTTTTCAAATACAATTACTGCTTTTGAAAGGTCACTTGTCTGCACCAGTCAAGACAAGGCTTTATTTTATTTTAAAACTTTAAATTTTTGTGAATTTCATAAAGATTGGGGAACTCAAATTTTGAGTGTTCAACTAAAAAGAAATTCCTTACAAGTTTCCATTCTCAATTTTAGAATTTTACATGGACATGGGGTTAGGTATCCATGGAAATTCAATTTTCCTCAATCCATCAAAATTGATACCTATGAAAGTAAATAAATCCACAGTTTTGTGTATTGATGATTTCATGTTTAGTACTGATAATTTTACTCTTTATTTGACAGTTCTCTTCGTCAGAAGATGAATCAGAAACTGAGAAACCTGTTTCTAAACCAAGAACTGGAACTGACATGACTGAGTCATCCGAGGTAAAGTCATCTAAATCAGATTAAAAAATGTTTTCAAGAAACACATGTCAACAGTGACACATATGATATATGTATTATGAATATAGTACACACACAAAAGTTACCTACCACAAACTACTACATTCCTTCGGCGGTAGCTTCATCAACACTTAGATACACTCTAAGGTTTAAGTTTTTCAGACATCAGTTACTTTGTTAAACCTTCATGAAATATTGTTAAATCTGGAACATCAACATTACACTTTTACACTGACAGTAGCAATCACAGGCAAGACACAGTTTACATTTATTTTTAATGTTTTTATTTTTTCTTATGTATACTTTTGGTTATTAAACTGATTGAGAAATGTTAATTTTTGTTTTAATTAATGTTTATTTTCTGTGATTAATTTACTGTTATGGAAAGTAGTTGAAGAGGTAACTAAATGAAACATAAAAAAATGATAATAAATTTGTTGTAATCAACTTTAATGATTATCATAAATGAAATAGATTCCCCAAAAAGTATGTTTTTTTTCTGTTATCAGTCTGAATCAAGTGAAGGAGATTTGTTTGAAGCAAAGAAGGAGAAAGATAGTGATGAAAGCGACGAAACAGAAGAATCTGATGTTGAAGATGAAAAAGTGGAAAATGAAGATTCTAAAGATACAAAGGTTCTATTTTTATTTACATTGAAAATATTTATATATTACAAAATATTTTAAAAAATCCAGAGAACTCCCTTTTCCCGCCAAACTCTTAAATATGAAAATAATAATACAGTCGAACCTCGTTGTGTCGAAGTCAAAGGGACTGGATCAAAGTATTCGACTCATCCGAGGTTGGACTCATCCGAGGTCGAGTGAGTTGTCATAAGTTTGGAATGCATGAAATACGGTATGAGATTTGTGTAAACTAGATACAATGAACAGTGTGCCTTTTTTCGATATGACACCTTATGATTGTGTATTCAATCTCCATTTTTGATCCTTCGTAATAATTAAACACACAAGTACAGATACAAATCATGCACAAATAAAATCAATAGTCTACACAAATATTTACAAAGGTCAGTCACTATAAATTATGAAATCCCTCGCGGCACGAAATAAGTTCTGAACGGTCTCTGATGAGGTCGTCTGCTTAACATTAAATTATCATGAATTTATTATAATTGTCCTAATCCTTTTATTTATTGTAATTAATGAATTTTAAATCTAACGTTTCATTTAATCTCAGCTTTGGTCATTTAAATTTGTTTCGTTTTTATCTCAGGTGAAAAATGTTCAACACACTAACATTCCGCTTGAACGATCAACATAGGTGTTAATTATTAATTGTCATTTTAACTGTTATACAAACAAGTATGTTTACTCAGCTTTAATCTCTTGTGAAAATGATTAGGTGACATAAGAAATACATTCGATTTGAATTTTTATCATTAGGTCTGCATCTTTATAAAATTCTTACTTTCGAACTTCGAGACATCGGGGTCAATTTACATCAATTTTACTTCGACGGGACTATAAAATTTACTCGACTTAACCGAGTATTCGAATCAACCGAGTTCGACTCATCAGAGGTAATTATGCATTGATCAAACGGGAATTTTCCCGGGACAGAGAAATAACTTCGACTCATCCGAGTTTTTGACACAACCTAGTTCGACACAACGAGGTTTGACTGTATGTGGTATGATTGCCAATGAGACAACTCTCCACCAGGGACCAAATGACATAGAAGCTAATAACTATTAGTCACCGTACAACCTTCAACAATAAGCAAAACCCATACCACAGAGTTGGCTATAAAAGGCCTCTAAATGGTAAATGTTAAACAATTCAAACTAGAAAACTAATGGCCTGATTTATAACAATATATGTGAACAAAAAAAACATGTCAATATCTAAAAACAAGTGGACGTATATATATTTTTTTTGCTTGATACTTCTTCTTAAGCAAAATGTATTTCAGTATATAACAACTATTTGTTTACCTTGTTGTTTGGCACTAACCAGAGAACTTCATTAAAATGAAAGGTTAGGTTCGGATACTGTAAGTTCAGAAATTTTTGCGATGTTTTTATTGCAAAATTGCAACGCAATAGGCTTTGCAAAAATAAATACTTGCTTCTTAAATTCTGATAGCATTTGTAGACCCCATTTTCTGAAATCGCATTAATTAATTTCCCATTTTTGTCCAATGTTCAACAATTACAAAATTGTACCTAGTTCTTGCATGTATGTGAAGATTTATAAAGGCACTTCCTTAATTGATGTTTGCTTGGTTAATTATCACAGGTTGGGGGATTTGCAGATGAGCTAGCATCAAAGTTAGGAATAGCACCTCCAGTGGTCGCTGAAGAACACAAAGGTTAGAAGACAAATTTAGTGCTAGATTCAATTCACAACCTCAGTGTTGACAGGCTAGTGATACAAGAGTTAAACTACTGACACCACTAAAATGAAATGAATGGATTTATAACTTGACTGATAAAATAACCAGATGGTTTTACTGAAATAAGAATAAAAGACTTGGTATGATTGACAAGAGACACCTATCAACCAGAGACTAAATGATGTAGATATTAGCAATTAAAGGTCATGATACAGCCTTTGAAAATAAGAAAACCCACCGTATAGTAAGCTATAGAAAACAAAATGTAAAACAATTCAAACAAGAAAATCTACAGCCTGATTTATGTACAAAACAATGAATGAAAAAATCAAATGATAGACAGTGAACAACAACAACAACTGACTATAGCTTCTGACTTGGGACAGACACATACAGAATGCACTTGTTTGATATAAAAATAAGAAGATGTGGTATGCAAGGCTTCCAAAACGGTCATATATGCCGGACATTTGTATAATGTCCGGTAAAAGTCCGGCTGGGCAAAGCATGAAACGGTCATCTACTTTTTAGTTTTCAAGGCTTTAAGAGACGGTCATTTCAACATAATTCGCGATCTTTTTGACCCAAAGTTTTGCCTTTAACAGCCACACATTTCCGGTCATAAAAGTGACATGATCATTAAGTACTATCAAAACAACCCCTACTTTAATACCTTCTCATTTTAATCAAGGCTAATTAGTTGTCAAACAGCTGAAATTTACCTGTTCAGGTGACAGGTAAACTATTTTGAACCGGACATTGATCGGTCTATTCAAAGTTATTTTCTTACATTTCAGCGGTTTGCATCTAAATAATTTAGTCAAAAAGATTTAAATTATCAGAAATACGTTGATAAAAAAAAATAAAAAGGTGAAAATGAAAAATCGTCATAACCACGTTGTTTGAACCTAGAGACATGTCTCTGTTCGATCTAGTACACGTGTGCGCAGGTGTGAAAGTTAATTATGCATCCTAATTTATTTAAAAAATGCTTAAATTGTCATTGATACCTTTATCTCACGTTTATTTCGAATATTTTCTTGAAGAAATAACGTAGAAAGAGCTACTTCCACTCATTCACGCTTTGCAAACGTACACGGAATTTACGTATCCGTCTCTGGTCCATGTTTTACCATTGTCAAGATAACATCGTGTATAAAAAACGAAAGTAAAGTTTTTGACAAAGTTATTTTGCACAAATAAAGAGTCTAAGGCTGATATAAGTACGCTGATGTTGCACACTTCGAATGATGCACTGCCAATTTAACAGTTTACGTCAGAACTTCGAATTTGAATCAAAGAAAGTTTAATATCGTTTTTTTAATGTCAATCATTGGGATGGCCAACTCGGCAACTGATTACCATAGTTGCCTTTTGTTTATTTAGTCTTAAGGGATTAAAATCGGGATAATATATAAAATGTCCGGCTGGCTTAAAATTATTTTGGAAGCCCTGGTGGTATGTTTGCCAATGAGACAACTTTCCACCAAAGACCAAATGATGTAGAAATTTGCAACTGACATGTTTGTGATGTCAGTTTTACAAATGATACCATTACAACTATCCTTCCATCAATACTTTTTTTCTCATTTGAGTTGCAGATATTGATAATTATATAGTGAAAGAACATAAAACACTAATACCAATGAAAACTTACTTTTTGTTATTGTAAAAAAGCTAAAGTTTGGGATATTTATTTTAATTGCAGAAAAGCAGCGATCAGAATCTGAGTCAAGTCATAAAAAGAAAAAACACAAAAAGGAAAAAGACAAAGAGAAGGCCAAACCCAAAAAGCATACAGATGGTTTGTACATTGATACTTAAATAGTATATTGTCTTGACTTAGAGAAGTTGCAGAGGCAAGACTTTGACATGCTGTGTCTGTGATTGGCCATGGCCACATCAAAATTTGATAAAAAGTTTATTTGGGGAAAAAGTTTAAGGGGAACCAGTAATTGCATGTCAATGATATTTGGAAGGCTGTTGTATTACCTTTGGCAGAAATGTTTTATATCTTGGTGTTAAGATATACAGGAACTTAGAAAATCATGAAAAAGTCTTCCATGTTGAATACAGTATATGTCTATTTATAGATGACAATATGTTTCCTATGTCTATTCATAGATGATGATATGTTTTCTGTGTTAATTTATAGATGATGATATGTTTCCCACCTCAATACAAGAAGATGAAGATGACAATCTCTTTGCACCAAAAGGAGGCTTGTTTTCTACTGGAAAAGGATTGTTTGATGATGATGACGAAGATGTAAGTATATTTATCATTTAATAGCATTTTTTAGGATAATATAGATACATATATATTATCTATGTCTTTTCTGGCTTTATTGTGTTGTTGGTTGCTGTTTCATTGATGTATAACCCAGCTCACACACCCACACATACACAAACATGATTACATCTCATTTTATTCATTTATGCAATTAGCATAAGTATGATTAAGGATAGGATATTTTATCAATAACAACCTATACAGCTTTTAAGGTAACACAGTTTTTCTATTTTTTTAGAAACATTTATTATTATTATGACTTCTGACCAAAAGTCTTCACAAAAATATTGTAAATGGGATAATATGATGTATTATATGACTAAACAAATTCTCTTTTCTCATTGGCTGAAAGCAAAGAGTCTTCTTTGATAAAACATTATATTCACCACAGGAAAAATCATTAGAGGTTAATACATGTATAAGATTTGGAACAGCTAACATGTATCTAAATATAGATATTCCAAGGCAATGTCAATGACGTAGGTTTATGACATCATGCAAAATCTCGTTTTTCTTCTGCTTCTTCTTCTTGTTAATTTGTTTGTGTTTGTAAATTTTATTGTATGCTAGTATTTCAACTTAAAAAAGTTAGCAACTGCCAAAGCAGATAATATAGTTTGTATAAAAACAAGATCTAGAGTTAGAAGTTAGATATCTTTTGTCAAGAGCAATTACTAAGAAATTCTTTTAATACCAATCTATGGATTTTTTAATTACAAGTATGCAAAACTATTGAATGAGATATATGGAGATATTTTTATAATACAGTTCTTCAAAATTTTGCATGGTAAATTTAAACTATACCTGTGCATAATGTAAAACTGATGAAATTGTAGATTTCTTATAGATATTTCAAAGTTAAACCTAAATCATTATAAAAATAAAATGTTTCATGATAAATGTGCCTTACATGCCCTAAATATGGTTAGAATATTCTAAATGTGCTTTGTTTGATTTATATTTATGTGTTGAAAAGAATTGATTGTTAGCATGAATGTCTTATGTAGGTTTCAAAAGCTCAATGCAAGCTTATGTTGTTTTGTTACAAATCTTGCTGACTCTAAATAAAGCTTTTTTGTATTTGAATTTAATATATATCATATCTGTTTTTGATAGGAAGGAGGCCTTTTTGATGATGATGTTAAGAAAGAAGAGAAACCAAAGAAGAGAGGTATGTATATCAGCCTTATATATCTTAACTTTTTAAAAGATAATGAGTCTAAAACAGCACCATTATTTTCTTTAATTAAAATTTTGAGTTGACAATCTTAGTCCACAATCAACTGCTGTCTCTGTGTCTACCATGATAGAGAATTATGGACAAAAAGGGCAAAAGAAATAAAGAATAGAGAAAATAGGCAAAAATAATAAAGAAAAGAGAATAATGGGGTGAAAATATGAAAAATAGAGAATAATGGGCAAAAAGTATAAGAATAGAGAAAAATGGTCTAAAAAATTCAAGAAATAAAGAAATAAAGGACCCCCATCTAGACCATCATGAAACATAGAGGATACATGATACTTGCAGGGAAAACAACAAAATCATGTTTACATATTTAGATTCTGTTCCCAAAATGCTTAAAGCATATACTTTTATCCAGAATTTATGTATATTTCATATTTTTCCAAAATTAAACAACTTTTTATGTGAACAAATTGTTGCAAATATGTCAAAGTTGGATACTCTATTTTTAGCTCACCTGGCCCAAAGGGCCAAGTGAGCTTTTCTCATCACTTGGCGTCCGTCGTCGTTAACTTTTACAAAAATCTTCTCCTCTGAAACTACTCGGCCAAATTAAACCAAACTTGACCACAATCATCATTGGGGTATCTAGTTTAAAAATGTGTCCGGTGACCCGGCCAACCAACCAAGATGGCCGCCATGGCTAAAATAGAACATAGGGGTAAAATGTAGATTTTGGCTTATATCTCTGAAACCAAAGCATTTAGAGCAAATCTGACATGGGGATAAAATTGTTTTTCAGGTCAAGATCTATCTGCCCTGAAATTTTCAGATGAATCGGACAACCCGTTGTTGGCTTGCTGCCCCTGAATTGGTAATTTTAAGGAAATTTTGCCGTTTTTGGTTATTATCTTGTATATGATAATATATAGAGATAAACTGTAAACAGCAATAATGTTCAGCAAAGTAAGATCTACAAATAAGTCAACATGACCAAAATGGTCAGTTGACTCCTTAAGGAGTTATTGCCCTTTATATTCAATTTTTAACCATTTTTCGTAAATTTTTGTAATCTTTTACAAAAATCTTCTCCTCTGAAACTACTAAGACAAATTTAACCAAACTTGTCCACAATCATCATTAGGGTATCTAGTTTAAAAAAATGTGTCCGATGACCCCGCCCGCGAACCAAGATGGCCGACATGGCTAAAAAATAGTACATAGGGTAAAATGCAGTTTTTGGCTCATATCTCTGAAACCAGAGCATTTAGAGCAAATCTGACAAGGATAAAATTGTTCATTATGTCAAGATCTATCTGCCCTGAAATTTTCAGACCAATCAGGCAACACGTGGTAATTTTAAGAAAATTTTGCAGCTTTTGGTTATTATCTTGAATATTATTATAGATAGAGGTAAACAGCAATAATGTACAGCAAAGTAAGATCTAAAAATAAGTCAACATGACCAAAATTGTCAATTGACCCCTTAAGGAGTTATTGCCCTTTATAGTCAATTTTTTACAATTTTCATAAATTTAGAAAATTTTTAAGAATTTTTACAAAATATTTTCCACTGTAACTACTGGGCCAAGTTCATTATAGATAGAGATAATTGTAAGCAGCAAGAATGTTCAGTAAAGTAAGATCTACAAACACATCACCATCACCAAAACACAATTTTGTCATGAATCCATCTGTGTCCTTTGTTTAATATGCACATAGACCAAGGTGAGCGACACAGGCTCTTTAGAGCCTCTAGTATAAAACACCAACAAAGAAACTCACGAAAATAAATTGCCACAACTACAGTATGCTTTTTTCCCTACCCCTTTAATCTCTAGCCATGCAAATTTAGAAAAAAAAAATCATGAATATGTGATATTATGTGTTTCTCTGCCCAGCGTTAAGTACTAAAGAGAAGGATAAATGACTATAAAGTGTGTCAGTTTGATAAGAAATGTGTTAAAGCAAACTTACTTTTTTAATTCAATATTGTTAATATTAGTACTTTATACGTTTTTATTTTATAGCTGATTCAAGTCCAAAGAAACAACAGAAAAAAGAAGTAGAATCTAAGAAACCTGTAGTAAAATCTGGTGGGGGAGGTGGCGGACTGTTTGATGAAGAAGAAGATGATGACGATTTTTTTCCCACAGGTACAGAATCCAAGAAAGGTAAATATTTTAAGATGGGATATGTTTCACAAAAAAAAATCTTGCGTTTTTGATTTTAATAGCATTATTTGTGTGCAGTATTTCCTGTAATCACAATAATTAATCTCACAGTATTTACCATTGTTAAACAAATGCAATAATAATTGAATACAAAATGTCAGAAGCAGTAGAGTTATACCCTAGAGGAAATAGTTCTTGCATTTCCGGAGGAAATGGTACCCAGGGCAAATAGCATATGCATATATTAGAACTGGTAAAGGCATATTCTGAAGAAAAAGGTGCTTTTTAAGGTGCACCAGCATACCATATGTTCAACAGTAGACTTCATCTCTGAAGTATTGAGTAACAAATTCTCTATATTTGTTATTTCGAACTAGGGAGACAATTAGTAATGTTGTACATGTGGAGATAAAGAAAGGCTGTCATTGAAGAAGTGCTTAAAACATTGATGATGAGACTGTTCTATTGTTTTTAAGGGTATTTCCATTTAAAAAGATATTTAAGTGTAATATTTAGGAAGAGATTTCCAAAATCTTCCCTTCAGTCCATACTTTCTATGAGTAATTTTGCATACATCAAATGGAAATACAACCACAAATGACCAATGATCCATGACCAAAAATAAAACTTCTCTTCCTACCCTCCCTTAATAATTTTAATGGGATAGTCCTAAAGTTAGACTAATTAAGAAAAATGAAGTTGTTAAAAAGAAAGGCATTTATATACAATGATATTTTTACTTAAATGAAATAGATGTTCCAGAAAAGAAGCCAGCCAGTGCTAAGTCTGATTTGTTTGCTGATGATGAGGATGAAGATTTGTTTTCTTCAACAAAGGAAAAATCTGAACCCGAGAAGAAAAAGAAGAAAACAGAGAAAAAGGTAAGTTTAATTGGTGCTTCTATTGTTGCTTCATCAATATTCATGGGATTTCAATTTTGATACCAATGAAAATAAATAAATCCAAAGTTTTGTTTATAAGACTTACTTAGAGGATTAAAATTGAACTTTAATATCAGATTCTATAATATCAGATATTTTTGACTGCATTTATTATTGCACATCCCTGATGAAATTACTTAATGTGATTTAAAGACAAGGTTATTATAAAACATTAGTATGGTAAATAGAAATATGAGTTTTTATTTTTGCAATGAACTTTCCCTAAATCAATGCAACTGTGTTGACCTCTTTATGCCTTTTAGCTATTTATATTGGTGGATTGCTGTCTCATTGATCTCTTTTTATTCATAACGGGTAGGTCTCTGAAATTTGTAGATGTAATTTTTTTTCTGAAATGAAGGAATCGAATTGATGATTTAGAGTAAACAAGCAAACTCATAACTAGGGGTTTTGGGTTGATATAATCCATTAAACTTTATTAAAGTCAATATTTTGTAAAGAAATTGCCAGAGTGCATGATTTTGCACCAATTTAATACCATAAAGCATTTATCATGTCTATCAGCCTTGAGCTACCCAAGACTCCCATCCATTATAACTTGTAACCCCACCTAGGATTTTCCTCTCTATGGGCCTGACAAGGTTACTTCCGTAGAGGAATAGAGAAATCTCAGATATTAATTATTGATTTTTTATGTAATTTCAATGTCAGAGGTATTATATCTTTATTTTGACAAATTGCCTACCTTATTACAGTTGCCTGCTGGAGCAGTGTCCATGTTTGGTAGTGGACCTAATCCCTTAGCTGCAGCCATTAAAAAACAAAGAAAGGATTCTGATGAGGTAAAGCAAGCATATCATATTCAATAAAAATTCTTACTCCAGTGGTGTAAACAGGTAATTTAATTGAAATTATTGTTTTTGGTCTCATTTTAATACTACTTTATCACATTTGACATCGAATTATTAGTGCTTTAAACCATTAACAAAAATGTTATTAAAATATAATATTTGATATGTATATTTATAGTTCTACTGAGATTATATGCTATTTCAGAAGTTTACCAAGCAAATCTGAAGTTTCTGTAGTACTTATTTTGAAATTAAAACCACATACTGGTCTTATAAGCAATCACATGGTCAAATATGGCACAGATTCATAAAATCAAATAATCAAATAATTTCTGGTGTATATTATGTTACTTGAGCAAAATAATCCTAACCAAACTGGTTAAGATACTCAAAGGGAGATAACTGTAATTCTCTCAATAAGTAATACACTTATGTGAAACAAAATTTATTAATCTATGTTTCCAAGAAGCTTAGGATATATTCATGAAAATGGATGACACAAATGTACAACTGACTTGTATGAGTTGTGTCTCTTATCATAGAACTACCTCATTAACATTACTATCCTTATGTTAAAACAGGAAGACAATGATTGGTCAGATGGTGAGAAGTCACGTTCTAGTAGTGTCAAATCAAGTAGCTCTTCAACAACTTCAACAAAACAAGTAGACAGATTGAAAAAAGAAGGACGAAGCTCATCTAAAAATAGCTTGTTTGATGATGATGATGCTGACGATGCATTGTTCTCTGCACCAGCTAAACCTCGAGCAGACAGGTACACCAAATTGAAACTATTTCATGTTATTCCATAAATGATACTGTATTACACACTTTTTCACATTTTTGCATTTTTCACTTTTGTCCATTCTTCAAAAATCGCAATAATAAATGCACACAATAATTTCTTAATTTACAGTAATTTCAATGGAAAAGAAAGAGATATGGTGTAATACTTTATGAGAAAAAAAACCTATATGCAGAAATCTTAAAGTAAAGGAACAGCACACTTTGATAACTTGTCTTCATCTTAAATTCACATTGAGGTCACCACTATGGTGCAAATCTCACACCTCACTGCAAATTCAACTCTTCCCCTAACACTGTTAGCACTTAATTCATCAATAGTCCTAAGTCAAAACTGAAATAGAGGTCATCACACAAATTTTTTTATAAAAGTCAATATACTGAAATGGATTTAACCAGTTAGCTTCTAACAATGGACATTAAGTCTTAGCTGTTTAACAAGTTCTAAATCAACCTTAATCAAAACTCATTTTGTTAAAGTTAAACAATTACTTATAGCTGTTCATAAGAAAGGAGAACAATAGTGTAAGAAACGTTTCTTCATTTACAACTTTAGTACTTTTATAAAAGCACACTACTGTGGATTTATAGATTATCGTTGATCATCTCACAGTGATTGATTTTCTCGCTTGAGCTGGTACGGCGAAAGTGAGAATAGCAATCGAGTTGAGATGACCAATGATAATCTGTTTATCGCTATTTTACCTATGACGACGTTGTTAATTGCGTTGATAACGGCACGTGCCCCCTTAGTTTCTATCGATAATTTTTCATATCTCTCTACTGTGCTGAGAAAGGAAATTATCAGTCAGTAAGATCAAAGAAAAATTTTGTAAAATAGCGATTATCATAATTATTCGTGGGATACCAATTTTCATGGCTTTCGTAGATGAAGGTGAACCACAAATTTAAAGTTCAACGAAATACAAATTTACTATCTGACTCTATGCAGATTTTGACAAAACCACGAAATCAAATATCCACGAAAATACATTTTTTCCTCAATCCACAAAAAATTGGTATCCACGAAAATAAATGAATCCACAGTATTTCAAATATAGCTTTTCTCAAATTTAAGAAAAAAAGCTTCAAATTATTGTTTAGGTTTTCTGCTTTTGTTGCTTAACATCCAGTCTCATATATAACTGATTTGACATGATATTCAGGACTGAACTATACAGGGAAGGATTCAGGTGGAGGTTTTCTTAGCCAATACCCCTAAAATTGAAGAAAAAAAACAATATTTTATCATTATTGGCTTTTGTAAGTGGTCACGCTTCCACTAACCTCGAAACCTAGATCTCTGCCTACTTCTTAATTGTATCTAATTATTTGATTTCAGTAAATCAAAGGCCAAACCAGCAAGTTCTTTGTTTGCTGAAGATGATGATAACGACCTATTTGCAAGTACAAAAAGCACTGCTGGAAAGGCTGCATCACAAAAAGTAAGTATATCTAATGAAATTATACCAGGATAACTTTGGTCAATAAGTTGAGACAGTACTATGTCCTGCACCAAAATTCTGGTATGATCCTTAGGGCTGTTCCAGATTTAAATACATCAGGGAATGCGAGGCACTCAAATTAATAAATTGTTGATGGTTGCATTTTCTTTTAGAATTTTGTACGAATTATGATTAAAATGAAAATTTTATATTTTGGATGGTTGGGGTCTAAAAAAAGTGCCTCCCATCCCCTTAATGAGTATAAATCTAGAACAGCCCTAATGAGAAGCAACACAAGTTTAACATATTTTAAAAGGTGGTACCAAACATCTTGACTAATATTAATTTGGCTCGTTTAATTTTCATAAAATTTTGACAAAGTATTTACTTTGACCCTTTGACAAAAATATTAAAATTTCAAAAAACTTGAACCGCACACTTTATTGGAAAAAATTCATTGGATGTATATATATATATACATAGCAGTTACACAAACAATAATTTTGATCATTGAGAAGCTTTATCTTTCTTTAGCAATAGAACGTGATTAAAACGTTCAGCTGATTTTTACAGAGTTATCTCCCTGTAGTGTTATGTACCACCTTAAGTTATATTTGATATTGTTCTTTTGTACTACAACTGGCATTAATAAATATGTTGACTGATATTGTTGTCTGGTAGGCTACTGGTTCTAGTTGTTATGTTTACTGTCACTCAATCCATATCTATGTGTGATGACATTGAGGATACCAGACTTTAGGTTGTCAGATTTTTTACAGACACACTCATGAATTCAAACAATGACTGATCATATTTTTGGGATCATTGCATTAGTAAAAGGCTTCAGGTATTGTCGGTTTTCAACACCCATTCTCCAAAACCACTAGTAAGATTAACTTAGGGTTCCACAATGTGTTAGACTTACATGTCTAGTGGTTTGTGCAATGGGGGTTTATAAAGGGGTAATTTAAGGGGCCAAAGGAAAGGAGGGATTTCCTATAAAACCCTATGGGATTTTTATTTTTTTAAATTATCAAATGATTATTACTAGAGAAAAGTTATTGATAGACACATGGGATCTTCAGTAATGACCATGGGAACATATGGCCTACTGAAAGGTCAAAATGTCAATGATCAATTATGACCTTGACCTTTTTTTTCAATTTATTCAATAGGGAGAGTCCTTATTTATGGGATACCAATTTATGTGGATTTCGTGGTTACAGATGAAATACAAATTTAAATGTTCAACGAATAACATATATTTTTATAGGTTTGTTAGCTGACTTTAGCAAAACCATGAATTCAAATATCTGTGAAGATACAATTTTTTTCTCAATCCATGAAAATTGGTACTCACGATAAAAATTAAATCCATGGTATGTGAATTTACTACCCATTATCAGTCTTGTTTTTAGTTGTTTTCTTTTTGTGTCAAAATAGAGATACATCATACTCACCTTTATAAAGTAGATAGTCCTTGTGAAAGAATTGTTACCTTTAGATATTATGTATTCCAAGGTTGCAACAGAAACTGATATGGATTACAGGAATAGTTGATTTACAGATTTAAATATAGTTATTTTCACTCATTGCACTCAGTATTGTGAGTATTATAATTTTTTTCAGAAACCAGTTGATTCAAAGGCCAGAGCTGGATCCCTGTTTGATGATGATGAGGAAGAAGATTTGTTTGGTGTACCAGCCAAACCAAAAGAAAGGTTGGAAGATTTTATGTTTTTTTTTTCAATAAGCTACTCAAAAAAATTAAAAGAATTAATGTTTTTTGTGCAGTTATAATTTCCTGGACATGATAATTATACATATATAGGATAATGGGACCTCCAAAACTATTTGACAGTACAACACCAACACTCATTTCATCAGGCACAATCTGTTGTTAAATGCATTATATGTAATCTGTTAAATATATATAAACTGGTGAATTTCTGGTTTTTTATTCTGTTTCGATGTCAAGTCTTGACTCTTTTGTGATTAAGGTTATACCCTCTATCAAAATGCATAGTTTACACAGAAATAAATTCTTTGAAACTTTCCAAGCAACCTATCTTTGGTTGAAATTTTTTTTGATTTACCCAGATTATTGGAGAAAAAATTACTCAGTCTTATATAGGGGCCTCCGTGGCCGAGTGGTCTAAGAAGTTGAACTACTTTATCACTAGCCAGTCAACACTGAGGTGAGTTCGAATCCCGCACGGGGCAGGTGCACTCAACTCCAATCTTAATTGACTAGGATTGTCAGTTTTCCTACCGAAGGTCAGTGGTTCTCTCCAGGCACTCCAGCTTCCTCCACCAATAAAAACTGACCACCACGAATTAGCACAATAGTGTTGAAAGTGGCGTTAAATTCCAATCAATCAATCAATCAATCAATCAGTCCTATATAATAAAAGATAAAAATAGTTTGGTTATCAAGAAGATTGTGGTAAATGTTAATTTTTTCAAAAAATAAATGCAACAAACAGTGAATGCTATCAAAGCACCAATAATCAGCCAGTTTTGTGAACTATTACTTGTTAAGATCATTTGTGCATTTTCAGTGAAAAGAAGAAGCCAGTTGGAGGTGTGTCATTGTTTGGAGGAGCAGAAATCCTAAAGAAGAAAACAGAGAATGAAGTCAAGGTAAAGAATGAAGTCACATGACAAAGTATTTTAAGCAATAATAAAATAAGGAGATGTGACATTTTATTTTGTAACTTTTGCATATTTTGAGATGGCTGCTGCAGACATACTAATAACAAACTAATAACAATTTTTTTATCAATGACACTTTTTTTTATTGATAATGTATTATACATTAAAAAATGTGCTCTCAGTTTATCACATTACATCTTATCTTTTTATTTCTTAAATATATATAAAGATTTGCATTGTTCTCTCTAAATTCTAAACTGTTTAGCCTCTATGAGGATTAGTTATCACTTACTCACAAAAACAACACTTTTTATACGACTGCAAAAACTTTTTGGGATCGTATAATGGTATGATGTCTTCATCGTCGTCTGCGTCGTTGTCCGAAGACACATTTGGTTTCCGGACAATAGTTTTAGTTTAAGTGAATGGATCTCTATGAAATTTTTTAAGAAGGTTCAATACCATAATAAGGAGGTTGGGATTAATTTTGGGGATGATGGTCCCAACCGTTTAGGAATAAGGGGCCCAAAACATGCATTTTTCTAGTTTCAGGATAATAACTTGTGTATAAGTATTTTGATTGCTCTGAAATTGTACCACAAATTGTGCCAACAGTTTAGGAATTAAGGGCCAAAAAGGGGCCAAAAACAAGCATTTTTGTAGTTTCAAGACAATAACTTGTGTGTGAGTGTATGCATCTCTCTGACATTGTATCCCAAGGTTCCATATCACAAAGGGAAGTCTGAGATTGAGTTTGGGGGTAATTGTCCCATACATGCAGGAATGAGGGACCTCCCATACTTGCAGGAATGAGGGACCAAAAAATGGCCAAAAACAAGCATTTTTGTCGAGCCTTCGACTTTTGTCGAAAAAGCGAGACATAGCGATCCTACATTCCGTCGGCGGTGGCGGCGTCCACAAATATTCACTCTGTGGTTATAGTTTTTGAAATTTTAACAACTTTCTTAAACTATCCTGGATTTCTACCAAACTTGAACAGAAGCTTGTTTATGATCATAAGATAATATCCAAAAGTAAATTTTGTAAAAAAAAAATTCCATTTTTTCTGTATTTTACTTATAAATGGACTTAGTTTTTCTGCCAGGAAACATTACATTCACTCTGTGGTTAAAGTTTTTGAAATTTTAATAACTTTCTTAAACTATCCTGGATTTCTACCAAACTTGGAAAGAAGCTTGTTTATAATCAGAAGATAGTATCCAGTAGTAAATTTTGTAAAAAAAAAAACATCATTTTTTCAGTATTTTGCTTATAAATGGACTTAGTTTTTCTGCCAGTAAACATTACATTCACTCTGTGGTTAAAGTTTTTAAAATTTTAACAACTTTCTTAAACTACACAGCAAAAATTGCATACCCGTTTTTCATGCGTAAAACAGGCGTTTTACGTATGTTATAAAACGTATGTAAAACGCATATTGAGGACCACGCATGTAAAACGCCCGTTTGAAACGTATGAATTACGTATGTTAAACACACGTAATACGTGCGTGAACGTAAAACATGCGTTAAATGATTACGTAGAACGCCCGTTTTACGGGTAAACGCACGTTAAACGCCTGTTAATTTCTAGAAAATCATGTGTTTTACGTATGTTTTTTTTTCCCTCAACACCCGTTTTACGTATGTTGTTTTTTGTCCTCAACACCCGTTTTACGTATGTTTTTTTTTTTTGTCTTCAGCACCCGTATTTACATATATTTTTTGGTCTTCAACACCTGTTTGACATGTTTTTTTTTCTTCTGCAGCACCCATAATATGCTTGGTTTTTTGTTGTTGTCTACACCAGTTTAATGAATTTTTTTTTTGTATGGTGTTGTTAACATTTTACCTGTTTGACATGTTTTTTTGTTGTCCACAACACCCAAATACATTATGATTTTTTGGAGTTTTTTTTCTGGTTGGTAATGGATATACCTTAAATACATTATACTTGTCTTTTCTAATGTAAACACTAACAATTTGATTTTTTTTTACTTATATATTCAAGTAAACATATATAAATTAATGATTATATCATTGTAGTATTTAGTTGGAAATCAAAATGACTACATTTAAATTTGATGGTGTTGTCTGTCCTTTTCAAACTTGATTGCCTCCCTTCTAGAACTGTTTTTGGCAAGGCATACATTTACTGTGTGCTATCTTACAATTAGAATGGAAGCACAATATTTTATGACATCCTATTCAAATGATCTATATTCAATTCATAAACCTAAATCCATGAAAAAACCCTCATGAGAAAGATTATCAATTACCATTTAGAATGGACTATTTACCTTAAAGATGTCTTGGTTTTTATGCTAGTCTTATTGACGTAAACGCAATATCTCCTCTTGTATATTTATGTTGCACTCAGAATATAATCTACTGAAAAGAATAGATTATGCTTAAGCCAATTGAAGAAGAGAAGGTACATGTATTAGGATAAGACATCATCTTTTTCTGTTGGTCATTGGAAATTGTGTTCACCACAATTGTGATTTGGATGGATTGATCGTCGGTTGGTTGGTTCTATGTTAGAATTTGCAAAAAGACCTCAAAATATGATGGTCATATAAACCTTACAAATTTAGTTATTTCAATTCTATTTATTTAACAACTACATTTGTTTGGATGAGATATTTACAATCATACAAAATGTGTACCATAGTTCTTATTTCATTAGCATTATGTGTTCTTAATGTACTTGTGGTTGACATATATACACTCCAAGTTTACTCTGCCTTGCTCTTGGACTCTTGTTCACAAAATTGTTTAACTGTTAGTATTATTTAAGACTGTTCTCCTGTTTACAATATTATAATTTTTGCACATGGATTCCTTCATTTATTTGCACTTCTCCTTGTAAGATTCCAATGGTCATGATGATATAATCCTGTTGTTCATAATCAGTAAACATATCCTTCGAAAATTTTCTACAGCATCTGTAATGTAAAAACAAAAGAAGATGTATTTTGGTGGGCAATCATTATTTTTTTAAATGGAATAACATTAACAAAGTATGAATATATATAGATGTTTGTCAAGATATGTCCTAAGCTTTTTAAAAACACAAGTGCAGACACTGAAGTGTCTCAACTGCTTTACTTCTTATCTCAAAACTGAAAAGTCTGATATATATAAGTGAATCACTGTCACACAATACACCAAATATAGCCTATTATTGATATCATATCTGAGTAACAGACCATTGCTCATTCTTGAAGGCTGTAAGGTCTTGTGTGGAGAGTTGTCTCAGTGGCAATCATACCATATCTTTTAATTTAATTTTTATACAAGTTAGAAATCTGAACATTGACTTATCGTTATTAACCATAATAATGAGGTCCAGGTCAGATGAACACTGCAGACAACACCTACACCATTCAATCATTCCTAGCTACACATATAGTTGATATATTGATTATAGTATCTGAGAAACAGACATAACCATGAAAACTTACACTGACCAATGAAACATGAAAATAAGGTCAAGGTCAGATGACACCTGTCAAACAGACGGGTACACCTTACAATATTCCATACAATAAATATATTTGATCTATTGTTTATAGTAATACATATAGTATCTGAGAAATAGACCACACCTCAAAAAATTAACATTGTCCTATGAACCATGATGAAAGTTCAAGGTCAGATGAAACCTACCAGACAGACATGTACATCCTACAAACATACCATACACCATATATACAGGTGATCTATTGCTTACAGTATCTGAGAAACCAACCAAACCACAAAAACTTAATATTGACAAATGAACCATAAATATGAGGTCACATCAAAAGTCTTGCAACTAAAAGAAACACGATAGCAGTCAGCACAAAGACAAACAACGAAAACTGTAGAGTTGATAAAAACTAGAGGCTGTGTCTCGCTCATCTTGGTCGACGTGCATATCAAACAAAAGATACTCTACAACATTGTGGAGGAAAATAGACTTCATGACAAAAATCTTTATTTTGTTGATCTTGTATAAACTTATCTCTTAGTCTGTTTAGTTTCTCTCTATCTTCTTTACTTTTTGCTCAAAACACAATAGAGGGTAAAAAAATCCCCTTTTAAGGGCAATTACTTCTATGAAGAGTGACAGTCTACTAACTCTGTCGGCAAAATTTGACTTTTTAATAGATCTTACCTTGCTGATCACTTTTGTGATTTGAAGTGTTTATTTATCTTTTATAATTTAAATCATACAAGGCATAAAAAAAAATTTTCTTTCTAAATGTCATAGTTTTCATGATAATAGTCAATAAAATGCTCCACAGGGCGCAGCTTGATACGACCGCAGAGGTCGAACCCTGAACAGTTGGGGCAAGTATGGACACAACATTCAAGCTTGATACAGCTCTGAATTTGGATTGTGATTAAATATTTGACACAGCATAGGTTTCTGACACAGAATGAATGTGGTCTTAGAACTTGAAAGTTTTAAGTTGGACCTTTACCTATTATGGTCCAATATCCAAAATCTAAATACATGGTTAGATTCAGCATATCAAAGAACCCCATATATTCAATTTTTGTTGAAATCAAACAAAGTTTAATTTTGGACCCCGATTTGGACCAACTTGAAAACTGGGCCCATAATCAAAAATCTAAATACATGTTTAGATTCAGCATATCAAAGAACCCCAAGAATTCAATTTTTGTTAAAATAAAACCAAGTTTAATTTTGGATCCTTTGGACCTTAATGTAGACCAATTTGAAAACGGGACCAAAAATTAAGAATCTAAATACAAGGTTAGATTCGGCATATCAAAGAACCCCAATAATTCAATTTTTTATGAAATCAAACAAAGTTTAATTTTGGATCCTTTGGACCTCAATGTGGACCAATTTAAAAGCGGGGCCCAAAATCCAAAAACTTAATATAGGTTAGATTCAGCATATCAAAGAACCCCATATATTCAATTTTTGTTGAAATCAAACAAAGTTTAATTTTGAACCCAGATTTGGACCAACTTGAAAACTGGGCCCAAAATCCAAAAATTTAATACACGGTTAGATTCAGCATATTAAAGAGCCCCAAGAATTCAAGAATAAAACCCCATTGAAATTGGTCAAGAAATAAGCAATTTATACAAAGTATTAGAAAAGTATTGTTTTTGGCCCCTAATTCCTAAACAGTTAGGGCCATATAACCCCCAAAATCAATCTCAACCTTCCTTTTTTGGTATGGAACCCTGAACAGTTTGGGCAAGTATGGAAACAACATTTAAGCTTGATACAGCACTGAACTTGGATTGTGATTTAATATTTGACACAGCATAGGTTTCTGACACACAATGAATGTGGTCAAAGAACTTAAAAAATTTTAATTTACCTATTCAAACCATATCATTATTATATGCTTTTATATATAAATCAGAAATAACCAATTTAAAATGGAAAATTTTAAAGAAAAAAAAAGGAAAAAAAAGGAAAAAAAAGGAACTCCTCAAATTTTTTGAACCCCTTTATGATTCATCACCCCCAAACTCAATCCCAGCCTTCCCTTTGTGGTATGGTACCTTGCAGTACAATTTCAGAGAGATCCATACACTTGAACACAAGTTATTGTCTGCAAACTAGAAAAATGCTTGTTTTTTGGCCCCTTTTTGGCCCTAAATTCCTAAACGTTTAGGGCAATTACCCCCAAACTCAAACTCAGCTTTTCCTTTGTGATATGGAACCTTGAAGTACAATTTCAGAAAGATCCATACACTTACACACAAGTTATTGTCATGAAACTAGAAAAAATGCTGTTTTTTGCCCCTTTTTTGGCCCCTAATTCGTAAAATTTTGAGGCAATTACCCCCAAAATCAATCCCAGCATTCCCTTTGTGATATGGAACCTTGTGGTACAATGTCAGAGAGATCCATACACTAACACACAAGTTATGTCTGGAAGCTACAAAAATGCTTATTTTTGGACCCTAATTCCTTAACTGTTGGTACCATAACCCCCAAAATCAATCCCAACCTTCCTTTTGTGGTATTGAACCTTATGGTAAAATTTCATAGAGATCCATTTACTTAAACTAAAGTTAGAGTGCGAAAACCAATGTGTCTTCTGACGACGACGACGCCAACGTCATACCAATATACGACCACAAAATTTTTTTGCGGTCGTATAAAAATGCTTATATGGACCCCTTTTTAGGCCCTTAATTCCTAAACTGTTGGGACCATAAACCCCAAAATCAATCCCAACCTTCCTTTTGTGGTTCCAAACCTTGTGTTTAAATTTCATAGATTTCTATTTACTTATACTAAAGTTATTGTTCGAAAACCAAATAGCTTCGGACGACGACGATGACGTGATAACAATATATGACTGAATAAAAATGAGAAAAAAATGGTTAAATTTGTCATTTATTGGCAATGATTCCTATAAGAATTTATCTAACAGTTTTGACGTATATGGACAATTGGTAGAGCTTATTAGTCTGAAAATTTTTGCTCCTTTCAAATTCTCTCTTATTTATTCAGTTTCAAAAATTAATAGACAAAACTTGCTTTTTACCCCTATGTTCTATTTTTAGCCATGTCAGCCATGTTGGTTGGTAGGCGGGTCATCAGACATATTTTGTAAACTAGATACCCTAATGATGATTGTGGCCAAGTTTGGTTAAATTGGTCTCAGTAGTTTCAGAGCAGAAGATTTATGTAAAAAATTACAAAAATTTCCTTAAAATTGTAAAAAATTGACTATAAAGGTCAATAACTCCTTAAGTGGTCCATTATTTGTAGATCTTACTTTACTGAACATTATTGCTGTTTACAGTTTGTCTCTATCTATAATAATAATAAAGATAACCAAAATCTGCAAAATTTCCTTAAAATTACCAATTCAGGGGCAGCAACCCAACAATGGGTTGTCTGATTTGTCTCAAAATTTCAGGGCAGATAGATCTCTACTTGATGAACAATTTTACCCGTCAGACTTGCTCTAAATGCTTTGGTTTCAAAGTTTCAGCCGCACTTCTGTACCCATTTTTAACCAAAAACCGAAGTAATCCCCCACCTTTTCATGTTGAATTGATGCTGTTCCCCGGAAGGAAAAGCTCTTGACGTGTAAAAATCTGTTGAGAGCGTATCACAAAGTGTTTCAGTAAGGTCAATATATACCGTATTTGCTACGAAATAAAATTTAGTTTTGCTGGGCAGACATGCAATGAGCATGCGTGCAATGATGGAAATGATGACAGCACGTAAATTTCAGAGCCGAAAGCTGTGAAGGACGGTCAATCCAAACTGGCTTTTTTTGCAATTTTAATCCCCAAATACCCCCAAAAGATCTTGAAATGAACACATAATAAAACTACGCTGGTCATTACCCCTTTGTGGTATAAAACAATATCCGTGGATTTTATGTGAAAGAAGAAAACGTGACACCCAATTTCAACTCTATTCATTTAGTAATATAGATAATCCAAAATCTACATTTTACCCCTATGTTCTATTTTTAGCCATCACAACTATCTTGGTTGGCGGGCCAGGTCATCAGACATATTTTTTCAACTAAATACCCAAATGATGATTGTGGCCAAGTTTGGTTAAATTTGGTCCAGTAGTTTCAGAGTAGAAGATTTTGTAAAAGTTAACAGACGACGACAAACCAAGGTCAGATTAATTCTGCCGGACAGAAATGCACATCATCTGACACACCAAATACAGATTAATTTAATATATATAGTAAATGAAAAATTTTGTAGACATGTTTGGAAATTGTCTTTGAATAACTCCATATTTCCTATGTGTCATTTATATTTACCTAAAACATCATTTTCTTTTCTTTACAGTTTGTTTAATACTAATACTATAATGCAGATCTGATCATACACCAACGAACATATTTGACAAACCTAAGAAAGAAAAAATAATATTAGTTTATACATTTAGGGAATGACTGTAATATTTTTTCTGTCTATGAAGAAATAACATCAAAAATGTGGTGCACACTGTATAACCCACGTGGCGGATTATTTTAAAGTGTGCACCACATTTTTTTTGTTATTTAGAATAGACAGAAAAAATATTACAGTCATTTCTTATAATTTAATTCTTAATTCCATTTTAAACCGGAGTAAATCATGAAAAAACGTTGATGACATCAAGGTCGCATGACAAAATTATGTCTTTGAGCTGATAAACAAAACAATGTCAGCCAATCGGAAGACGTGTTACATCCAAAATTAAATTATTATTATATAAAAAAAGTTTAGAAATTTATATCCCTTAAATAGATGGTTCATGTTTAACTGTTACAGCCTTTAAATAGTATACGTGTGGCTCACCTACATGAATCATTGTGCATCTGTTATTAAACATGTCGCCTCTTGTTTTTGGTGGGTTAATGTTATTCAGTCTATTATAATAAGTTTTCTAAATAGTGATGTGTGGACTTTTTGGTTGTTTCTTTTTTTTGCAAGACATCAGTTTCTCTTCCACTTAGGCCAAACAAAAAAGTGTGTGTTTACTGCCACATGCTGAAAAAAAATAGGGTAGGTAGGTAGGGACTTTTTTTTATTTTTAATATATTTTTTACATTGAGTCTATGGGAGCAACATTGTGACTTTAACAGTGCTTAATCAAAAATGGTCAAAAAAACTTTAGGGTAGGGGATAAAAATTAGGGTAGGTAGGGGTACAGTAAACACACATACTTTTTTGTTTGGCCTTATGAGTTTTGAATGTCCCTTTTATTTCTTCTGTATCATCATGATCATTCATTTTAAGATCAACAACTCATATATGGAAGGAGTTGATAGACAATTTTTGCGCAGTTAAGTTATGGTATTGGTAGACTTTGCAATCAAATTTGGAGTTAAACAACAGTTTTTCAGTATATAAAGTCTTACGACCAACAATAGCAAGTTTTCCCAAAATTGCTAAAATCATGATTTTATGGTAATTTTCATTTCAGCTATTTGACCTTATGGCCTATATGTTGATCTTGTCTTTTTTATCATTTTGTTATTCATAGTTTCTCACTATCTATTCAAGTTTTAAGATAATGGGCAAAAACCAAATAAATTGTTAAAAATCACTTGATTTATCCTAATAAGAGTTGACCGACCCATTTCCACCATACATGTATGGAGGTATTTGTAGATAATTTTTTGTATTCAAAAGTTGCCCTCTATCTTTTGCCAAAAGGGTGGGGGGACATATTGGAACCCTCTTCTTTTATTGGACTTTTTCTGTAATTGTGTCCATAATACCCTAATCTATAAACCCAATCTAGACCCTCATAAGTGGTTAAAATTCTTATACAACTGCATGTACATTTTGTACCAAACATTATTGACCTGTATGAGTAGTGGTTCCCATTGAGCCAACCTAATAACCATTGTTGACCTGCCAACACAAGGCCTTGGCAAGCAACAGCATGTCCAATTATTAATATTGTTTTTTCCCTTCTCTGATGCAAGGCAAAATGACATACATTTTTCAATCACCAAGAGGAAATGAGAATTTACATGACAAATTGACATGATTGATAGCTACTGCTTATGATTGTTTGCTACAATACTGTATCTAATACTTACCAATTTCAGTTGTTGGAAGAGTGATTGGCACTGAAAAATTACAAAAAGTTTAAAGTTAAATTTATTTTAATGCATATATATACATGTACAAATAATTAGCATAATCTGCAAATATTTTTACAAAATTTACTTTATTTTTAAAATAGATGGTGGCTTAGTTAAATTACTACAATTTCTAATTTACCAGTCCCAACAATAATGTTTATGTTGTACATCAAATCTATCTCAGCATACTCAATCTAGTTAGTTCAGTGGGTGAACATGTGTACTAAGTAACATGTTGATGTCACTCTGATGGTCACATGATAATGACATGATGCGTTGATGTGACCATCAGGTGGATAGTTGTCTCATTGGCATTCATATTGCATGGCATGCTGCATCTCCTTATTTTGATATTAGCATGGTACTTTTTTTTTAGGAGATTTATATCAATTTGACAATTCTAAAAAAGGTTTAAACTTCAAAATGTGGTGGCTTTTTGGCATTGCAGTTTTGTAGATTTACACCATGTACACATGAACAGGTCTTTCTGTTATTTTTTTGTCATTTTCATTGCTCCACGAGTCATCTTCCACATACAGATGAAGGATTTATTTTGTGATTATAAGCATCAGTTTCATAACATTTGTATGAGACATACTAAAGTTAAAGAACAGAAACTACAGATTCAGCCCTTTTTTTAATAAAAGGGGCATAACTCATGAACGGTACAAGTGACACCACCCAATTTGTGGTAATAAGCATTGTGTTTAAGTTTCATAATATTTAGTAAAGACAAACTTAAGTTAGATTATGAAAACAAAAAAAAATAGAATTTTTTTTGTTTATAACGAGACACAACTCATGAACGGTAAAGGTGACGCCACCCAATTTTGATCTTCAGGGGCGGATCCAGGATTTTGGAAAGGGGGGTGTAGTATTGAAGTTCGCGGAGCGAGGCGAAAAAATTTTTTTGACCTTTTTTTGGCTAAAAAACATAAAATAAGTGTAAAATGCATTTTATTTTTAAAGTGTGGGGTTGGACATTTTTGGTGCCGTATTCTCTCCATCAATTATCTATTATGAAATGATTGGATGGATCCAAAGCTATGTACTAATTAATATATTTGATGTGGGATTTGTCAGTAAAGAATGGACATGGAAAATTCTCGTTTGTTGTATGGTTAGTTAGCATAACCTCACAGATTTCTTGTTGTAAACAAGATATTCGGCTATTCAATGAAATTTACAATACGACCGACACGAAGAAAGACAAACAAGCAATTTTCATCCAAATGTTTGGTTGAAATGTTTTACCCAACAAGGGAAGTGAGGGGTTCCAAATCAACCAAAGGCTACGAATTAGTCGGAAATGACAATGAAGTTGTGAATGATGGTCGACACATGGAGACATATAGGCCACACTCAGCAGGCAGGTTGCAGTCGGGCCTTGAAAAAAGTATTCAGTATATCAGTTTGGCGAAACAGACATTCCGGTCAGATATGGGATTCACATGCAACCCCCCCAAAAAAAAATTATGCCCGTTTTTTATTCATCATGTTCATGTAATGCTAAATAATTCTGTTGAAAATATTTTTTCAAATAGCAAAAAAGTGGACAGGATTATTGTTTTCAATCCAGATACGGCCAGAATTTTTGTTTAAGGCAAAAATCAGGGTCATAATTTTTTCTCTAAAATATCTCAGACTGCCCCCTCAGATCAAATGGTCTGTACCTTAGACTTTAAATCTATATCTAGAGCTTACTGGCTGGGGATCACTATTCAGCAATGTTATTAATGGGCTGGGGCGTGTGGGGTTAAACATGTTTTCGTAGGTAAATAATATTGCTGTGGAACTTTTTTTTTTCATGAGAGTGTAATAGTTTTTTACTTTCTGTTAGGTGGAATTGTGAAATAGAAGTCAATACGTTCTTGCTCAATACTTTGTCGCTTTGAAGGTGTCATGCTTGTCATCCTCTAAGCAATGTGTTACTGTAATTTGAATTTCAAAATGACTGAGTGACGTTTTTTTCGATGAACTGGTCAATTCCACCGTAGAGAATCACATGACTTTGACATAATCATTAATATATTACAGTAAATACGAGCGAAAAATGTCTTTATAAGTAATCAATTGTCGCATAAAAATTAAATACACGGGAAATGGCAAAGTTCACGAAGTCTAGTCTGATTAATCATTTTACAAAAAAAAAAAGTGCAAGCAAAGGGGGTCGTACGCCCTCTACGCCCCCCTCTGGATCCGCCACTGATCTTGATCTGTGTTTTGTGGTAATCAGCATAGTGAATAAGTTTTATAACATTTGGTTGAGGCAAACTAAAGTTAGGAAACGGAAACCAATTTTGGCGATGTACGGACGGACAGGACAGACAAGGGCAAAACTTAATACCCCCTTTGCTACAGTGATGGGCATACAAATAGTATTCTCCAGTTTCATGTGTCTGTCTGAAATCGGAAAAGTCAGTGTATCCTAAACTCTGTCAGGAAGACAAAATGTTTTTAGTAGAAAAACGTAAAATTTCTGTTTCATTCAGACAAACCCCAAAATAGTTTGGCGAAGACTGCAGAAACCTCATCACTGTGTGCATTTTCTTACATTTCAATGTATTAATATTCTTCAAGGATTATGGTGGTTAAGGTATGCAAGAAATATGTCTATTATTGAGATTTATTATCATTTAATTATATCAGGATAGATACTAGTAGGCCTAAGGCCAAATAAAATAATGTGTGTGTTTCCTATTACAACATCTTTGAAAAAAATAGGGTAGGTAGGTAGGGATTTATTTTTATTTTACAATTTTTTTTTTACATTGAGTCTACATGTATATCATATGGGAGAGAAATTTTGATTTAACAGTGCTTATTGAAAAATACCCCAAAAAACTTTATTAAAGGTAGGCTATTTCTTCGCTAAAAATATAGGGTAGGTAGGGAAATTTGGCCTTATACATATTATGAAGGCATTTTTTCTAATCTGATATAATCATATATTACATCAGTGGCAGATCCAGAACTTTTTATAAGGGGGGAGGGAAGGTGGCACTGAGTGACCTAAAGGGGGAGGGGGGGCTCCAGTCTTCAGTTATTCCCTATATAATCAACAAAATTTTTCCCACAGAAGAGGGGGGGGGGGCCTGGGCCCCCCGCCCAGGATCCGCCTATGATCATGTGTATGATATCCATATATAGTCCAAGTTGTTACATAGCATATATTACCTTTCACCTTTGCTAGGAGCGCAGATTCCTTATGTATTGTTTACTTACGCCAAGTTACGACAAGACTTACGGCTTTGACAGGGCTTTTTCATAGTCCAAATAATTATGACGTCTTGAAAGGCTATTTTAATTTTTTTCTGTGATGCCTTCTAATTATTTGGACTAGGCTTTTCATATAACTGATAAGTAATGGAAATAATTTCTGACTTTGACAAAAACCATTACCCCCCTTTGAAGGTTGCTCCCTACTATTTTTCATATAAATATCTGATTCAGTTTATAAAACATTAATGCCATTTAAATATATATTTTTTTATTTAAAAATAAAAGGAGGGCGAACGAACACATGGCGAAAATATCATGCCATAAGGACGAACGGACTTGACAGCGTTTTCAACGGTTTTGTTGTTATGAATGTTTGTTTGTTTGTATATAAATATATGGAAACGCTGATTGACAACGTTTCAACATTGCATTCAACATACTTAATGAATGTAGTGTGTTTGTTTAAGTGATTTGAGTGATCTACCCATTTTTTTACCAAAATAAATTATCTGCCTCTTGTTGCGTTTGCCGGTTTGGTTGGCTGTTCTGTTCACAAGACAAGTCGTCCCCATTTTTGAAGTTGAAAAGCCACCTTCTTCTCATTAAACACTCCGCCTCAGCTTGGACTGCTTATTTTATGCCATTTCCAATGTTTGCATTCAAATGTCCGTGTATGTTTGTATAGCAGGTACAACATTTCTAATGAACAATCGGGCACAGCGTCCTTGGTGTCGTCTGCGTCATAACATCTAGATCTTTCCGGCGTTTAAAAATGAAAACCGAATCCGGACTAAATTTTCCTATTACGTAACTGGGATTCCCGCTGTTCAAATCATTTTCATTATTTGATATCTTATTTCTATATTCCGTTAACTTATTAATCAAGTCTTTATGTTTTTAGTATTGTAAATACTGCATTTTCAAGACAATACAGACTGGACTCGGAAATTGGCAATCTCGATAAAAAATAAACATTTGATAATAGCGTTTATAGGTAAATTGCACCGTGCATCTTGACGTGTTTTCCCCCCTATTATTGGGTAAACGGAGATGTGCTAAAAATATAGGTCATAATTTTGCGAGATTTTATATAAAAATGACCTACATATCACATACATAAATGTGATATTTGGAATCTTACTGTATTCTTTTGTAAGTTCACATTTCAAATAAGTTCCAAAATGAAGGGGGGGGGGGGGGGTTCGGACCTTTATCGGGACTCCGGGATCGGGTGTTTTTAAGCTCGGGATTTCGGGATTGATCCTTTCGGGATCCGAGAATTCTTTTTTTCGAATTTCGGGATGTCGGGATTAAAATTTCTTTAAATTCCGGACCTAGGGATTTCATGTTTTTAAGCCCCCCTCAAAATGAACTCCAGAAGTTTGAGGGTAGCTGTATATTTATGAATTATGAGTGATGATACAGATTAAGTGCAGTTATATTAACATATAAACATATTTTAAGTATTGTATATAAGTATACAGGCAGAGACATATATACACCGGCGCATTACGTTTGCGTGAAAAAAAAAATCCACGTTTGCGCGATTAAACACATTACGTTTGCGCGAAATTTACCTGTTCAAAAGTCACTACGTTTGTGCGGATTAAATAAAAATATTTACGTCTCTGGTACAGGTCATTCGGGGCTAGGATGAAAAATGAAAAATTTTGTCCTGCATTTTTTTTAGTTGCAATCTATGTCCTGCCTTTTTATTTTTCACTCTATTTCGGTCCTGCCTTTTTGTTATTCGTTTATCTTGTGTCCTTTTTTTTACATAAATTGTCATCCTGCCTTTTTCACTGAAAACTCCTGTCCTGCCTTTTTTCAAACTTCCATCCTAGACCCCCCGCTTAAAACGTTTAAACCCGCTGCACATGATTTTTTTGCACCTGTCCTAAGTCAGGAATCTGATGTTCAGTAGTTGTCGTGTGTTGATGTGGTTCATAAGTGTTTCTCGTTTCTCGATTTTATATAGGTTTATAGACTGTTGGTTTTCCCATTTTTATGGTTTTACACAAGTAATTTTTGAGGTCCTTTATAGCTTGCTGTTCGTTGTGAGCCAAGGCTCCGTGTTGAAGACCGTGCTTTGACCTATATTGGTTTACTTTTACAAATTGTGACTTTGATGGAGAGTTGTCTCATTGGCATTCATACCACATCTTCTTGTATCTATATATTGGCAAATTATAAGATCAAGAAGCATGTTTCTAGGATAAGGGAAACAAGTTGAAAGTAAGGGGTACTGGAATAAGCAAGTGTAGGAACAAATGAAAAAAAATATCTATCCTGAAATAAATCCTCCTTTTCTATACTGGCATTTCAAATGGTCGATCGTCTCCTAATGAAATTAAAAAAACATAATCTTATAGCTTAAAAAAATGGTGTATGCTTCCAAATGCCGCTGATCCCTTGGGGGACACGGGGTTCAAACAACGACCCCCTAAAACCAAAAAATTATAAAGTTGAGATTCAGATTGATGTTTGACTATCAAAGCCATAGCCTAATGTTAAGACAAAAAATGCAAATTTGGGTGATATTCTGGCTACATTGAGACCTTGCACCTTTTTCCACGCAGTAAGCCTGAGCCTACGATCAATATTTACATGTGTATGATAGGTACAGAAGCGTCCAATTTTTTTTGGAAGGGGTGACATTGTAGAAGACCAAAACATTGGCAGAGTTTATGCTAAAAATGATGTATCATAAGTTTCCAATCAAAGGGGGCGTATGCCCTCTACGCCACTGTATTAGGAATCATTTACAAAATCACACACTCATTCGATTTTAATTGAGACAAAATGAATAAAGATAAAAACAAAGAATAGCAATTATTTTTTGGGGGGTTACGGTCTCATTAACGTATTAACCACATATCTCCTTTTATTCATATTTCTAATAAAACAAGAAACTTTAGTATAACAATTGTTTCAGTTTCCGAAAGAGCGTAAAGACAATTGGCGAATGTGCAGACATTATGAAAGTATTTGCAATTAAAAAGTTCCCGGGCGGATCTAGGGGGGAAGGGGAGTGGAACCCCCCCTTTTTTTTAACGATCAATGCATTTGAATGGGGACATATGGTTAGAACCCACCCCCTTTTTTTCCATGATTGGGCCTGAACCCCCTATTAAAAATGGCTGGATCCGCCTCTGCTAAATAATTCATATTTAAGAGGGCTCGCGGTCACATGAAACATTTTTTTGCCTTTCAGTCCATTTCACTTTCATGACCATCCAGTAATTTATACATATAAAGATACTGAACAGAAATTACTGCAAATATTAGACCGTTCAGAAGACCAGTCAGCGTAAACAACATTCACCCCCCCCCCCCCCCCCCCCCCCCCAAGAAATATATTTACTAACTGTGATTATAAACAGAATAAATTAATATAAGACCATGCAAATATCACATCCACATCCACATGTCCTTCTGATCCCTTCTGGTAAAATGAGAATAGATTTGAAAAACCAAAGGCGGATTTAGGGGAGGTGCTTACTGAAAAACAAAAATATATTTCCAATATATTTTGGAATAAAACCTTAAGCTATGATGATTTCTCCATTTCATAATGACTTATAAATATCTGATGCATTTATCTGACCACAGAGGTTTTAATAGCATCTGTGAAAAAACAAAGACATCTTTTAAATAGTTTCAATTGTTACCTATAATTATTATATGTCTCTGATAATGTTAATAAATTTGCTGATAATTTCTGAGTGTCCTTAAATTTTTGGTAACTTGTTCCTTTTCAAATTATTATTTACTGTCAAAGAGAATATTGTGTTCGTGTTTTACTTTTCTCTGCATGTAAAAACTTATAGGTAGAGGCTATGTTTCGCTCCCCTGTACCAATTTATCCCTTTGGAAGAAAAAAAGATCCAAGTTGGGATGCTCTCTGTTATGCTTCCCACATCAAACAGTGAAACTTCTTTTGTTCTGAGTGTATAAATATTGTTAAAATGGTAATTAAACCAGTTGCTTAATCATAAGGTCAGGATTGGGTAAGGCTAAGCATGTAAGGGGGTGTTAACTTGTAGTACCTGACTATCACTATCAGAGACATAAAGATACATATATAGGGGGGGGGGGCATATATTGTATTATACATGTTATATGTGACAGTCTCTTGTAGTTATGGTAGTACATATATTTTCAGTGTTCTGGCCATTCTTTCCCCATTACCTTACTCCACAAATAAAAGTCTCATTGCCATCTTCTAACTGCTCAATAATTTAAAAGGGGGAAGGCAATGAGAAATAAAACAAATTTATATGAATATGAGTATGATTTGTAATCAGTTATAAAAAATATTATTTAAAATTAACTCCCATTGACTCAGCAGTTGCATCTAACCTTGGTGGAAATGATTCCTACCAAACAACAAGATCTAATAAGATTATTTATATATACTAGTATCACAGACCATAGATGTAATGGGTATTACATCTATGCACAGACATACATTGTAATACAGTTGTACATTATACATGTACTTGTATGTCTCTGTAACTATACCTTTTAAGTAAAATAAAATTAATCTTGAGAAACAAGGACAGTTTGAAAAGATAATTTTTTTTAATTGTGGAATAAAAACTGGTAATTTATATGTTTAAAATTTGTGTGAAATTTCTCATGTAAAACAAATGTTTTACTTTTTTCACATTGATTTCTTTGATTCATATGAAAATAAGGAGATGTGGTATGATTGCCAATAAGACAACTTCACCTGAAAATTTGCACATGCATTTTTAAAATTCTTGATTCACATGTATGTACATTTAATGTGTAAATTTAAAGTTTAAATAATACATACAATAGCTTTTTAAAGGAGGATGTTGTACTAAAAGGTTTAGCATGAACTGATAATTTTAATCATTATGCAAATATTCATGTTTGCAGTATGCTGTTGTTATTTTTTTATCAGCTTACGCACTATTTATAAATATGCTCTTAAAAATGAAAAGCAATGGAAAATAAATTGTGAAAAAAATAACCTAACCAATTTGACGTGAAATTCTCTTGAAGTTAAATGTTTAATTGATGTTAAATAAGTTTTAATTTGAGAAAAAAAGATCGGCAACACAAAAATATATAATGAAAACACACGTAAAACACATGTAAAACATATGTTTTACGTGCGTTTATAAAACATACGTTTTACGTACGTGATGTATTACGCCCGTTTCTAAACAGGCGTTTTACACCCGTTTTGGAACAGGCGTTAAACGCATGTTGGCTAAAACATGCGTATTCCATACGTAAAACGTACGTTTTACAGACGTTATTTAAAACGTACGTAAAACATGCGTTGCACTTTTTGCTGTGTATCTTGGATTTGTACCAAACTTGGACAGAAGCTTGTTTATGATTAAAAGCTAGTATCTAGAAGGAAATTTTGTTCAAATTTTGTTCCATTTTTTCCGTATTTTACTTATAAATGGACTTAGTTTTTCTTCCAGTTAACATTACATACAGTCTGCAGTTTAAGTTTTTAAAACATTTATTAGACTCATAAACTATCCTGAATTTTTACCAAACTTGGACAGAAGCTACTAACAATCAAAAGATAGTATAGAGAGGAATATTTTTATTAATTTTTTTCCTCATTTTTGTTGAGCCTGCGATTAACAGCAAAAGAAGGTGAGACACTGGGTTCCGCGGAACCCTTACAAATTTTTCTAGTTTCCAGACAATAACTTGTGTTTAAGTAAATGGATCTCTCTTAAAATGGTACTACAAGGTTCCATACTACAAAGGAAAGGCTGGGATTGAGTTTGGAGGTAATTGCTCCAAGGAGGGATTCAAAAATGGTGGGGGGTTCCAATTTTTTTAAGGGCTTCATATTTTGTTTTCAAAATTTTTACAAATTTCAAATTTTTGAAAAGTTTCAAGAAGAAAGAAGAAACCTTAAATTGCACAGTATTAAGCAATAGATTTGTAAGATCTTTGACCACATTTATTTTGTGTCAGAAACCTATATTGTGTCAAAAATTTGATCACAATCCAAATTCAGACAGTATCAAGCTTGAATATTGTGTCCAAATTTGCCCCAACTGTTCAGGGTTTGACCTCTGCGATCGTATCAGGCTGCGCTCAGTGAAGCATTTTATTTTATATTATAACACAGTGTTCCCCCTATGGCCTTATAGCACCATAGTACCAGATCTGCTTGGCAGTCACCTATTGGACAATACTTTATCATTGTTTCCTTAGCTGGTATGGACTAGGTTGAGTTCTACTGTGCATGCAACTGATTTTATCAGTATGTCAAGCATAGCCATGTTTAAAAAAAAAAGAAATAGCAGTATATGTTGTCTCATTTATATCTGTGTTATTTTCTTTATTTTCTATTGTTTGTTTGATTGTTGTTGTTTTATTGTTTTTTGTGTACATACTGTGGATTCATTTATTTTCGTGGATTGATGAAAACTGCGTTGAAGACCCATTGGTGGCTGTCGGCTGTTGTCTGCTCTTTGGTCGGGTTTTTGTCTCTTTGACATATTCCCTATTTTCATTCTCAATTTTATTGCATATTCATGGATATTTAATTTTTATGGTTTTGATTTAGTCAGCATATATTCCTATAAAACATTTGTAATTTTCGTTGAACTTATAAATTCATGGTTTCCCTCTACCAAAAAAATCCATGAAAATGGGTATCCATCTATTCCATCAAGTAAAAATAAATCCACAGTATGAAATAAGGAGTTTTTGGTATTATTGCAGTATGTTTCTCTTTGTTACAAATGCAATATTGTATCTAATGTATATATAACCTCTAGTACACTGATCGTGTTAGAGGTTAAGTCAGTGTTTTGTCTTGTCTTGTTTTATTATAAGGATAATGATTTAATGTGTGTTTTAACAGGAACCAGAGAAGAAAGCAGAACCAGTAAAAAGCCCTCCTACCAAGACCACTTTGTCATTGTTTGATGATGAAGAAGATGATCTATTTGGAGAGAAACCAGCACTGCCAAAAGAAACAAAGGTAAATAGTTGTTTCTTTTTTAGGTAAATGTATTTATTTTCAGTACAACTTTATAGATAAATTTTATATTTGGACTGATTTTTCAAAAAAGATGGGTATATCATGTGGTCATAGGACAGCTTTACATTTTATGTGTACTGAATAACATAAAATATTCTGCTGATTAAATGAAAATACAAGTAGCACAGCATTGATAAATCAAGAGTTGAGTAGAGAAATTGTTTCTACTGTAAGGTATATCATTAAAATGGATGTAGGATGGTATGCAGGGACTTTTAAATGTTTCCTACAAAAACACATTTTCTTTGAGTAATTCTGCATACATCAAATGGATACACAACTGTAAATGACCCTTGACCCTGTATTCCACATAAAATATTCCTTTCCTATTTCATTCTGAAAAAAATGTGCATTTTCCCTTGTTCCAAAATAAAGATACGCCTTACAACCAATTAGTAAAGAAATTTTGATAACAAAGTAGGTAACACCTACTACATGATAATTTTATTCCTTATTAGGTTGAGAAGAAGACAGAGAGTCAAAAGAAGAATAAGAATTTGTTTGAAGATGATGACCTTTTGTTTGGTGAAGAGGAACAACAGTCACCTGGTGTGGACATCTTTGGATCTCCTCCAAAAGTAGGTTTTTTCTTATTTGATTTTTTTTTAGAGATACCAAGGTCTGCAGAAGGTTCCAGTCTTTTCCTTTGCTGCCAAGTTGGGCACAATTGGAATAAAATATAGATCGTGTCCATGATTTGTTTTCTTCTTCCTGTATTTGTGAATTTTACATCTGCCAATGAAATTTCTGCCTCCAAATTTTTGACAGTGTATATCATTACGACAAACCCAGAGTGAAGACGGCACTAGTATTTCAATCAGATTGAGTTAGGCACTAAACAACATTCATATTCAAATTTCATAGATTAATGTAGTATGGGAGTATTAACTAAAATTGACAGATTTTTTTATGCTTTGCCAATACGTAGTTTTATATCCTGCTATTTTAAAAGATATAGTTAACTGTGCTTGAGTTCAAGCTACAAGTAGGAGCCTTGGTGGCCGAGTGGTCTAAGTAGTTCAATTACTGATGTCGTGAGTTTGAACCCCACACATGGCTGGTACATTTGGATAAAAATGGACGGGCAGCTGCCAAACAGTGTCTCCACAATAACATGAATACACTTTGACAAATTTTTTTCAAATTTAAATATGATGTTTCCTGGGACTGAATGAAGGTTGAGTTCAATTTTCAAGATTTTAGTATTTCTCCTTTTGAGTTATCGCCATTTTTAATATCCAAAATTGGTATTTTTAAATATTTTTCTCTCTTGTTATCATATTATGACTAAGGTAAAGCATATGGTAAAAGTCTTATCTCACAATTATAATTGGAGTGACAGATTTATTTGAAAATTTTCTGTTTCCTGATAAGATCTGTAGGACTGTATATATAAAGTTTGAAATTTACTAGTAGGACTGTATAAATGAAGGTTGAAATTTACTGTTCATTATTAGACACTTTGAAGATAATTACAGTTAAGTTTTATAGGTTTTTAAGAGATAGACATTTTGAAGTTAATTACATTACTAATAATTATATACGTAATGTTAGAGTACTTTGTTAAAAGGTTAAACCGTTCTGTTCAAGGGGAAATAACCTTTCAATTTGCAAGCATGATTTTCATTATTGATATTTCTTTTCTTTAGTAAATTGTTTGAAGAATTTTATGGTGTGTTTGTTATTCTGTAAAAAGTAATTTTCTGAGTGAGATATGTATACAATTGTTTTGTTGTGTCTGTTAATTTTAATTTTTACTTAATCCTGTTTGGGGTTCCAGATTTGAAAATTCATTAGATAATAATCTATTGTTTATAAGTTAAAAAGTTAAAATTAAGATAAGATAAGTTGCAGATCTATATTAGTATGTTACAAATGAAAGAAAAAATATTGGGAACTATCAACTATATATATAAAGTTTGATTTTGATTTATACACTAAGTGATAAGATAACACACATCTGGTAATTTTCAATGCAATCACCCAATTATAATTGGAGTGACAGATTTATTAGAAAACTATTATTTATATTCGATTATAATTTAAAAATAAATATAACATCATATCTCTTTACATCATATCTAATTTTAGAGTCTATGGTTAAATCATATTTAATTTTAGATTAACATGATTAGTTCATGGAAATAAAGTTTAAGTTATTTCCATTTGAACAGAAATGGTTTAACTAAGAAGTATTTCATCAAAAATTGAATTCTTGGGGTTCTTTGATATGCTGATTCTAGCAAGTACTTAGCATTTGGATATCGGACCATAATAAGTAAATGTTCAATTTCAAATTTTTCAGTTCTTTGACCACATTTATTTTGTGTCACAAACCCATGCTGTATCAAATATTCAATCACAATCCAAATTCAGAGCTGTTTTAAGCTTAAATGTTGTGTCCATACTTATTCAACTGTTCAGGGTTTGACCTCTGCAGGAAAATCCAGTTTGCTGTCACTCTGACAGCCTCTTGTTATATTTTGTATGAGTCATAGAAATATCTTTTTGGGCAACTGCAAGCTAAACTAAACCAAAAATGTCAAAACATTTTACTTTACAATTTGTGTAAAATGTTTTAAAATCATTGAATTTTGATGTTGTTATCTAAAAGCTACACATGTATAATTATTTTCATAAGGTATAATGTCTTTTGAAAGACAAATAAACAACAATGAAAAAAAAATAGGTACTGAACTTTTAGAAAAAGTGCCAATTCAAGAAGTATGGTCCAAGGACACAGTTATCGTCCTTTGGTTTTCGTTGTCTACGAATATAGTCCCTAGTGTGAACAGTGTATAACTTGCATTTTTTTTTGATACACTTTCCCAATTTATTTCTTGATATTTTATGCATGAAATATTAAGTAAGGGGATGAAATTACATGTTAAAAAAATTTGGGTGCTGAATCTTTATGTTAAGTAGTGATTTGGTCCAGTTAAAAAAGGTCAAAAATTAGAATGTCTGAAGCTGTCAAACTGAATTTTAGCCCCCCTTAACACAGAATTGTCAATATTTTGAGTTAGAGCTGGTAGAAGTTTCTATAATTTTGATATTATTTGTATCAATAGTAGTATACTACACTGTAAAAATCTTTTTGAGATAGAGCAGGTGCGATTTTTTTAATTTGAATTTATTGTCTAAAAGAAATGCACTACGAAATAACTGTGTTCTCGGGCCTATGTTGCATTGTGAGAACATTACTGTTTTCTGACATTCTTATTGGGTCAGACATCAATTACAAGAATACTAGTACTGAGATAGTGTCATGTAATTCATGAAAAAAATAAAAACTTCAAACCTACAAACCTACCAACCTTATAATTCTATGGCAAAAGGCTAAAAATGCACATACTCCGGTTATCATCTTCTCTGATTGGATGATGTCCCTTCATTACCTTTGTTAGCCTCACCTAATGTTATGTTGGGGCTGTTCCAGAATTAAATGCATGGTTGGGGGGGGGGGGCATGGGAGGCACTATTTTAAGACCCTGACCACCTGTAAAATATAAATTTTCATTTTACAAAATATTTCTGACAAAATAAAGAAAAAGTGACCACCCATATTTAAATAATTTGTGTGCCTCCCATCCCCTACCAAGTAAATTTTGGAACAGTCCTTGGGTGAATATAAAACATACTTGGCACATAACAGAAAAGACAGAAAGCATCCTGATGAAAGCTTTTTTCAGCATTAAAAACCTCTGACTTTCTATTGTGATATCTCACACAAAATAGATAACCATGTCTGATGATGTCAAAAAGTAAAACAGATACTGTAGATCATTGAATTAGAATGTTAAAGTTATTTCATGTATTTGGGAAAACCCTAAGCAATACAGATTTTAAAAAAAACCTGTAGACATCTAAAGGTCAGTATACAGTTTTCAACAGCAGACAGATGTTTATACAGTATGTCAATCTTTAAATCACTCAGAGTCATGTTACTTTATAGGTTTGAATAAAAGGGGAGAACTGAGTTCTTTAGATATCAGTTTAGCCAAGACCTATGTTTTTGTGCCATCTCCAAGTGGAATTAAAGAATTGGTTTCATTGTAGTTCTGTCTCATAATGATTATACTTCCTGCTTTTTCAATGGGTGATGACTATTTATTGGTCCGCTCTTCAATTCATTGGTTGGTCCCACGTACATGTGCTATTCTATCAACATGATCAACTACTGCTCCTCATCTGTTTAACAGAGTTTTGAAACTTTCACTGAATCACATGACTTACTTTTACTCTTCATATTTCATTTCTTCATCCAAATGATATTACTTTGGGATAGCATGGACTTTATCATATACTCACATTTCAGTTCACATCTGTATCTAATTCCCCTCCTTAACCCCTAATGAAATTTTCTCAGAATCATATAGTATGCCAGTATGCACCTTCTATTTTGTTCTTTCATCCAAATAAATTTTGGTGTTTCTCGTAGCAGATCATAGACTTTGCCAAAAGGAGTTTTCATTTTTATGGCCCCACAACAAAGTTGTCGGGGCCATATAGTTTTACCCTTGTCCATCATTCCGTCATTCCGTCATTCCTTCACACAAACCGATATACTGATTTTCATGTCGTTTCAACACATCTTCAGTACATCCACTTCCTGTTTGCTGATATTTTGAAATTTAACTACTCATTGATCAAGGAAATTTTTCATCAAACTAGTATTGGTCTTGAGAGCTGGATACTATCCATGCATATTTGTGTCCACATGTGTTGTTAAAATTGCAGATTTTTAAAACTTTTTGAGACGGGGCCATTCGTGTTGTTCCGACACATCTAGTTTATTATCTAAGTCAACCTTAGTCAATCATACACTATGCTATTGATGATGTATTTACACTTGTATGCAAATTTGTCTGCGATTACACAGGTTTCTGCAAAATTTTCCATCACAATTTAAAAAGTTTGACGTCATAATTCAAAAATGATTGTTGCATAATATCAGAAGGTTATTCAGAGACAGATTTAGGGTCATACGGAGACAATTCTGCTAAATACCCAAAAGTGTAAATACGCCTATTTAAGTATGGACAGGGATTTTAATCGTTGCTTTGCTGACAGTTAACAATGGGCCTCCAGTTAGATATAAGATATTTGAAAGTATTAACAATATTCCCATCTAAGTGCTTGTTTCCATTGTTTAAGACCATGAAGTGACATCTAGATGTTGAATTTGATAAGCTCATGTTGTGCCGTTTCATTGACATTTAGCGGTCATTACTTTTGTAATTACCGGTATATATAAATAAAGAACATATTAGCATTTACATTGCATATTTTTCATGCTATGAATCGAATATATTTTTCACTTGAATATGCACAATTTTTCTGAGGAAAAGCATTGTTTGCACTTAATACTGACGTTGATAAAAGATTGATCTTAAAATTCTGGAAAATGTTTTCACTTAAGGGTTTGAAAAAGCTACATGAACCCTACTTGTTTGACTGCATTACATGTAAATTAAAGAGTTGCCAATATGGAAGCAATTAATTTTTTTTTCACTGTTGTACCAAACACCAATGTTTTAATGATCTTCATGGACTTGAATAAACATGTATTTTTTGG